GCTCTGGTCATCAATATACTAAGTTCTCGTTCAGTGACGGCGATGCTCCTCACTGGTGGATCTGCGGTTATCCAGAACTTGACTGGCGCCCCCGTAGCAGCTTCCGTATTCTTGTTTCCGATCGGTAAGCACCTAATGCCAGAATTTCCAAAGCTTTGAGTCGCCGTTCTGACTGTTGGACAGGTGTGGTTGTTTACACTCTTTTCGGCGGAATCAAAGCAACCTTTATCACGGACTACATCAATGGTCTAGTCATCCTCATCATCATCTTCATCTTTGCTTTCACAGTCTACTCAACAAATCATCTCCTAGGCTCCCCCGGGCGAGTGTGGGAAATCCTAACTGAACTTGCAGTTGAGCGCCCCTTGACAGGAAACTCTGGAGGCAGCTACTTGACAATGCGCTCCCAAGGAGGAAGTGAGTTCTTAAGTTCAAGTTTTGATACGACTCCACTCACAGTCACATAGTTGAGTTCTTCATCATCAATCTCTGCGGCAACTTCGGTACAGTGTTTTTGGACAATGGTTACTACAACAAGGCAATTGCAGCAAGTCCGATTGATGCCCTTCCGGGTTATGTCATGGGGTAAGGCCCTTGCGAAAAGTTATGAGATTCTTGTGTTCTGACACCACTCCAGCGGAATCAGTTGGTTTGCCGTTCCTTGGCTCACAGCGACAACTATGGGTCTCGCCGGTCTCGCCCTAGAAAAGTACGATATATGGCCGACATACCCGAACCGTCTAGCCGCTGCGGACGTTGATGCTGGATTGGTGCTACCCACCGCCGCCGTAGCTCTGCTTGGAAAGGGTGGAGCGGTTGCAACTCTCATACTAGCCGTGAGTAGTTCTTACAAGCTCGAGGCCATCTAGGTTGCTAACTTCTAGTAGTTCATGGCTATCATGAGCACTTACTCGTCTGAGCTCATCTCTGTGTCGTCCATCTGCACCTACGATATCTACAAGACCTACTTCAACACCAACGCTACCGGCAAGCAGCTTATGCGGATCAACTACATCGGCATGGGCGTCTTTGCTCTTGTCATGGCTGGGTTCGCAACTGGCCTCAACTACGTAGGTATCTCCATGGGCTACTTGTACCTCATGATGGGTGTCATCATTTCTTCCGCCGTCTTGCCAGCTGCTCTCACTCTTCTCTGGGATGGACAGTCTTGGGCCGCCGCCACCTTCAGTCCAATCATCGGATTCGCCCTTTCGATGACGGCATGGCTCGTCACAACGAAGATTAAGTACGGCGAATTGAGTGTTACGAACACCGGTGCAAACGAGCCGATGTTAGCCGGAAACTTGACATCGCTCCTTTCACCAATCGTCATCATCCCACTTTTGACTTTTATCCCACCTTTCAAGCCCCAGCAGTACGACTGGCAGAGTATGCTCAACATCCGACAAGCGGACGATCATGAGCTCGTTGACGCTGCTCATATGGATGTTGAAAACTCGCCCGAAGAGAGGGTGAGAGCACTGCAAAGTGATCCTGACGAGCAGGTTAAGCTCGAAAAAGCAGCCAAGACTGCTCGCTGGCTGACTGTTGGTGTGACACTCGTTCTGCTCATTCTATGGCCGATGCCGTTGTATGGCACTGGCTATGTATTTGGAAAATCTGTGAGTGCTTGTTCAATATCCAAATAATATGCTGTACTAATACCGTGCCGCAGTTCTTCACCGGCTGGGTCGTTGTAGGAATCACTTGGCTATTCGCCTCTGTTGTCATGGTTATCTTCTTGCCGATCTTCGAATCTCGGAGCACGATTGTGCGAACTACTCGCATGATGATCAAAGACCTCTTCGGCCTGAGAGGCAAGGGAAAGCCCGTCAGTGAGGGCATGTCGCCTGGCTCAAGTACGCCACCGGAGCTCACGGAGAAGGCAACGTCCAAGTCATAAAGTGTTCTTTAGTCGATCTTCGTAACTAATGTTCATGTAGTACTTCAAGTATGTTACATATAAATGCTGTCCGGACATGATCTGCGCACTACCTAGTATCCTGTTCTAAAGTTCTCGTTCGAAGCCACATGCTCTGATGCTGAGAAAATGCTCTTGGTCTATTCATTTCCGCATACTATCGGATTCCAGTATTAACAGAACGACAAATTGTCTCAGCAGGCTTAAATATTTAATGAGCCTTGGTGCGAGTTTACAGGTAGCGACTCAACTAGGCGATGATTATTGGTGGAATCCATTCGTTGCGTGCGTCGTGAAGCCTTTGAAAAATTCAAAGATATCCTCGACGGTTGCAAAGTCGAATGTGCCAGCAACATCTGGATTCACAACGTCAATCTACGAATATTGGATAACTTGAAGGTCTCTTTGAGGGAACTTACACTGATCTGGTCGGACGAGCACCATCGCGCCAACCTCCGGGTCAATGCCATATTTTACATATGCTTCTCCGTGGCCTGCATGGTAACTGACATCATCAACGAAAACATTTTGCAGGCCTTCATAATCTCATTAGCCAGAAGTACGTGTAAGATCGAATCGTTGGAGGAGGAGGTTTCGAGACTTGGTAACTCATGTAATATCAAGGTACTCACACTTGACCCCCCACCTTCCTGCGGTAGGGGTAAACAGCCGTGGTATATGACGATCTTCCAATTTTCGTCGGTCAGAATTGAGCACCAAAACCAGATTCAAGAAGCTGTGGATATCATTTTGAAGTGTCGGAAGCTGTTTCATCGATGCTTCAAGCGATTTTGCGACCTGTACACATGTTTAGCAGTGCTATGAGCCCGGTGACAAGGTGCTTTCGTGTTGCTCACCTGGAATAAGCATTTCGCTGCTTGAGCCTGCAAAATATCGCCAGGGAAGACGACCAAAGACCATCTCGAGTCCGCGCGTAGAGCATGCGAAAGTTGCATCGCTTTGGCATCAGAGAAGCGAACGACTTGCGCGCTTTGGAACCTCATTCCCACGCTGACACCAGACGCCAGGCTATCCTTGTGACCAGGCCTCACGAGCATTGACGGCTGATATTGCGTGGCTAGACCAGCAGTGTATCTCCCCGATTTGATAAAGTAATCTTGGAAGTCTTCAGTAGTGTACCCATTTTCTTTCCGGTACGCCGAAGAAAACATCTTTGCAAATTGCCTGTCAAAGTCGATGAGGCCCTTGGCTGTCTGGTGGCGTTCAGAGACGTACGTCTCCAATATTGAGGGATGGACGTGCTTTCGGAGGACTGCGGCGAGTTTCCATCCAATGTTGTACCCATCTTGAAGACTGACATTCATTCCTTGTCCAGCCTTAGGCGAATGTGTGTGGCAGGCGTCGCCAGTAAGGAAAACTCGATGATCTTTTGTGAAATGGTCCGCAAGCCGTTGCCCGATGGAGTATGCAGAGAACCAGGATGTCTCGGCTATTTCGACTTGGTAAGGCTTGAAAATGCCATCAATGCGCTCTTTGACTCTCTCAGGTGTGACTTCCCCTGGAGTCGAGACTGGCATTTCCATGTAGAACCTGACCATCTCGTCGCCCTCTCGTGGAATGATGACCAAATTGCCCGAGTCAGACTGAATGACGCTTTTCTTCCGGATATCGGGAAAGTCGGTCCTGGGGTAGATGTCCATGACAGCCCAGACCACGTCACTGCTGTCGCCCACCATCTTGAAGCCAAGGGACTTTCTGACCGCACTATGGGCTCCGTCGCATCCCTAGATTTGGTGATTAGTGCCGTCTTCAGCTCACAAGCAACCTTAGCGGGACTCACCAAAGCATACTTGGCATGATAAGTGCGCTCAACGCCATTCTCAATTGTCTTCACAGTCACGCAACGGGCATCTGGATTTCCCGCAGCTTCACTATCGACAGCAACTTCACGTATATCACTTCCATACTGGATGTGTGATTTACCAGAAGACTTCACAATATCCTCGATCAAAATCTCGTTGATGCGTGCCTGATTCAGAATCACATGGGGTAGATGGCTAAGACCAGGCTCGGTGTCTGGCTCGAGATGTGACCTGCCAATCCCGCCCTTGCCGTCGGGCGACCAGAACGCAAGTTCGAGAACGTGGTAAGCTTCCTTCAAGACGTCCTCGGAGAGGCCTAGGTGTTCAAGGATTTCGACTGTGCGAACTTGAACACCGTCTGCCTGACCTTGCTTGAGGGGACCTTCGCGCCGCTCAAGGATCTTGAAGTTGATGCCGCATCGGGCTAGCCAGACTGCTGCGCAGAGACCAGCTGAGCCGCTGCCGCAGATAAGAACGTCGTACTCTTCAGGCATGTTGGAAACAAAATGACGATAGTGAGATCCAGTGTAGCTTGTTTTCGATCGCAAATGACACTTCTGATTGCTCGTCTTATACATCACTAGCTAGCCGAAGCTCCGAAATCAGCTACCGAGCGGGGTTAATAATTATTTCCCCGGAAGTCAACTTGTGCGGGGGATTGTCATGGGGGACGTCCCTGCATACAAAGACGTTTCCTGTGCATCCGACCAGTCTTCCGAATTCCGCCCGGGATATGAGGTCGGCACCGGACACGACACCCACCAAACTATTGAGCCTGTGGATCCGGGTCCGCGTGGGTCCTCGAGATACCGACGGGGCCACGGCAGGTTTTTCACAAAATGCCGGAGCTTCGGCCACAAGATATTCATTTGAAAGGATCGAGCATGCCGCCTTGTTGCGATCGTACCAAGAAAAGTATGGCATTCCAATGCTGGTGTATGACGAAACCTGCTTTGCCTAAGCGCTTATGCACCCCAATTTACCCCTCAGTTGCGCGCCTCAACACAGCATGACGCCTTGGGCCCTTGGCTGCAAACGCAAAATGAACAAGATGGGCAAAAAATGTAGCTAGATAAGGGCAGCTGAATGGAACTTAACCAGTCAAATTCTGCCTCGGCGGATCATATTTCCATTTCCACAATTTTACGTCATCAAGTACATGAAAGAATTTCTCCTACCTTTTCACTCCCCTGCGCGTCATCATTGCAAGTCTGCCATCCTCCAAAGCAACTGAATCAATCATTCAACAAATCATCATGTCTTCCTCCGTCATTCCCACTTCCACCTCTGTCGTCGAGAGCGCCGTCATCAAGGCTCCTCTCAGCCATGTCTGGCACTTCATCAAGCGTAAGTGCAGTAAAAATCTGGCCCAGGCAGTGGGTCAAGGATGAGTATGGGCAAACGCTGATATCGAGGTCTCAACGAATAGTCCAGAACTTCCAGAACTTCTGGTCTGCTCTGAAGGGCAGTGAGTTCGTCAAGGCTCAGGAGGAGACCGACATCGTCAGATGGACTTTCCAGGACGGCACCGTCCTCGAGGTCAAGCAGGAGGAGCACAGCGTAAGTTTCTTTGATCGCGGGGTTACTTCCCCATGATTGCAAACAGAAGACTACACGGAAACTAATTTCAACATTCAGACCATCAACCACTACATCACCTACAGCGTCATCACCTCCCAGCCTGAGCTGTCTTACACCTCTGTCGTCAGCACCATCCGCTGCTACCCCGTCACCTCCGGTGAGAACGAGAACAGCACCTTCGTTGAGTGGACCGGCAACTTCTCCAGCGATGCCGATGCTGGTGTCATCCAGGACGCCAAGTTCAAGCGCCGTGAGGCCCTTGCCGACCTGGCCAAGGCTGCTGCCAAGTTGTAAATGCTTAAAAGCAATGGGACTGGAATGTCAAATCGCTGAACCCTTGCGCTTGCATCGTCAAGGAAGATAGTCAAAAAAGTAAAAGATACCACTTGTTGTTCACAACTTCTTCCGCCCCTCATATTTCATGCTTGACAATCACAGTGACCTTCACATTGCATTCTAAATATTCAACCGAAAGGATTTGGAGTGAGACAAAGTGAGAGAGACTCATTGAAACTTGCCTTTATGAGTAAGTATCTTCTAGTAAAGTGGACACAAGCCATACTTCACTTCGAGTTTTACTAGTAATGAATAATAACTTATATGGGACTCGCACTGCCTCTCCATTGAGGGCAGCTGCACTCTTGTCATCAGCTCGCAACTCATTTTAATAATCTTTTCAACCTTGTTCCTGCATTTTCTCTTCGATGAATTCTCCTTCCCAAAGTCTCCAACCTCATACCATGCCCACCCTCCTTCTCAAATTCGCCAATCTCATTATCAACAAAGCTCTTAACAATTGCATGCCTACACTGAACTGCTGCCAACAGCGGTTTCGAGCCAATGGGTTCCGAGTTAGGCCAAATAGCAGTGACAGAGCGTATCCCACAACAGCGGCAACTGCCAACTTCTTTGGCCATGTCCGTCTCCTACGCCCGGCATGGGTCGGTCCCTTTGATATGTCAGCACTTTACCGTTCCAAGTTACCTCGTCTCACTCGCATGCTTACCCGTATTTCCAAGTCACCAAAGTCGGGGAACAAGCAGCGATACCAGAAGTACGCTTGAGAATAAGGATATGTCGAGCCGTTCCACTTCTTGCCGTCCGTTGTGTCCTTCAGATACCAGCTAGTGCATCCCGTGGACCATACAGTCTTTTGCATGTCGGCCTGCATCTGGCTAACGTATTGCTGCTCTGCCTCTCTAGTAACTTCGACGGTCATTCCCTTGCCATCAAGCACCGGTTTGATAATGCGAAGTGCAAAGTTAATAGAGTTTTCCGCTGCGATGATGGTGGACGTGTGGCCTGTGAGTGAGTTCGGTCCTAAAGCGAACTGAATTAGCAACCACCTTACCCCTGTATGGCATGTAGTGGAGAGCCTACCAAGAAGTACAAAGAAGTTTGGGAAACCGCTTGCAATCGTGCAATTGTAGGCCTCTGGGCCACCAAACGACTCCCAATGCTGGTCTATCTGCTCTCCATTTCGACCAATGACATCCAGGCCCCCAACCGCATTGTTGGTTACGAAACCATTGGCCAAAACGATGACATCCGCCTCTGTGACGCCTTCCCGAGTTCGAATACCCTCTGGTACAATTTCTTGGATCGGGTCGTCTAGTAGAGTGAGATTTTCCGAGTGCAAGCTCTTCAAGTAACCTGAGTCGAAGATGCGTCTCTTGCAGCCGAGTTCGAAGTCAGGTATGAGCTTGTCATGATACTTCGCCGGCGCCGTTGTCTTCATGTACTTCTCAGCGTTGGCTCTAGCACGCTTGCGATACTTATTCCCATCATTCGTCATGTAAAACCCTCGGAATGTGTTTTCTGCCGCAGCGAAGACCAGAAATCTCTGCAGCGTCTGTGTTCCTGGCACATGCCTCAAGACATTCTTCATGAACTCTGTATTCTCGTTGTCGACGGGGGGTAAGACCCAGTGCTTTTTGCGGATAGCTTGCGTGAGGTGCTTCGTCTTGCCTACAATGGCCGGTACGATTTGCGATGCAGTACACCCGTTCCCAATGACAACAACTTTCTTGTCCTGGATATCCACGGTTTGATCCCACCGGGACGAATGGAAGATGCGACCCTTGAAGCTTGTTGAACCGGGAACATCGATCTCCCGCGGCTGCATGAGTTGTCCTGTGGCAGCGAAGAGGAACTGACACTCATGCGCGAAGACTCGGTTGGTTTCGTAATGACGGATGTTCATCCTCCAGCGTTTGCGTTCTTCCGACCAGACGCATTGCTCGACATTAACGCCGAACCTCATCTTCTCTATGAGCGAGTATTTCTTGGCCACATCGTGGAGGTACTGCCATAGCTCCTGTTGCGGAGGCAGTACTCGACTCCAGTCTGGGTTGGACTCGAACGAGAAGCTGTACAATGCGCTGGGCACGTCGCATGCACATCCTTTGGGTCGATGTCAATTACTGCCGTGTTTGGCGAAGCCCATACTCGTAAAGGGAACGTTACCTGGGTATTGGTTGATAAACCATGTTCCTCCGAGATCACTGTGCCGCTCAAAGAATTTGATATCGCCTATGCCGTACCATCTTTTCAACGTAGCTCCCAGCCCGATCGCCGAGAACCCAGTCCCCACGCACGCGAACTGACTGTAGGTAGGCGTATCCGAAGTTTTCGACATTTTCCGCATGTCAAATCGGCCTATGTATTGACACTGTTTTCGAAAACGATAGTCACGAGTTATCGTCTCTGACTTCTGGTAATTACACCTGTTGGCTCTGTTCCCAGAAAGGATGAGGTCAAAAAACTCAGTTTGAGGAAGCGATCAAACACTCGCGAAGGTTAGGATAGTGCGGGGGAGCATGTCGTCGTCGACCTTGGTCAATGGTGGGTAGTTCACCCATGCCTCGGCTCGTCCCACGTTGGGCGTAGCAGTCTCGTCCGAGGGTGGCAAGCATATGCATGCTACTACGACGTCGTTGTGAAACTTTGTGAGAGCTTCTGAGAAACACCATGACCTAAGAGACCTCGTTTGATGGGGGGATCGCCCTAAAGTGGAGAGCTACGGCCCGGGAATGAGGGGAAAATGGAGCTGGTCGCGGAAGGGTGACGATCCCGCTCAGGACTATTGGGGGACCATGGTTCTTGGCAGATCGGGAGCACACGAGCTATGTGAGAATGCAACGGTTCACGGCCGGAGCGCCGGGGTAACGGAGATGTTGACGCCCCGGTCCATCTCGATCCGATTGAATTCATCCGACTGGAGGCCCTTGGAGGCCCATCAACACCTCTAGCGAGCGGCAGGTCTCAGCTCTTTGGGCATGCATACTCTGTAGGTGTGACAAGTCAAAATCTTGACAGGATTCGAAGGGGAGAAAACGGAGATTTGTGGCGAATTGGTGATTTTCCATAAGGGTCATATTTGGTTACGTTGAAGATGTGCATTAGTTCCGGTCTCTCTACATCTAGAATACCGAAGACAAAGTCCAACACATTCACTTCTCTGCAGGTTCCACCATCTCAAATTGACCAGTTGTGTCATCAATCTTTTGCCTTGGCGTATACGCGATATCTTTCGCGCTCGCAGTAGTCTCCCTCGCAAGACGCCACAACCACTCAGGACCAGCTCGCTGCAAATCAGTCACGTCAGTGAAGTCCAATAAATCGAGGAACGCATAGAATTTACCAGGGCTGTCACAGATGACATTATACCGGGCAGATAGATCGTCCGTCCGAAGCCACTGTAAAGGGAATTTACGATGGCCTCTCCTACCGAGTCCACATGAAGGAGCGGCATCATGAAGTGAGGCTGACCGGGGTCAAAGGGAACCAGCGGCGTTCGGATGAAGCCAAAGATTCCAAGCGTTTGACGAACTTTGGGCGCTTTGTGAATGTATTTCAGCTCAAGTTGAAGTGACTGGGAAGTGTTAGCAGTCATCTCAGCGCTCGACAAGTCAAAAGAAGTAGCATTTACCTCATGCATTGCGGTGAGCCCAGCCTTCGTGGCAGAGTAGTCAGCAATTCTCACTGGGGGAACCACCGAACTCATCGACCCGACGTTGACGATATGGCCATGATTGGTGCGAACCATGTGCGGCAAAAATTCCTTCGTAAGCAGGAAGGGGGCGAGCAAATTTGTCTTGATGGTCAACTCAACGTCTGCGTACGAGCCTTCCATGACGCTGTAACCCCGTGCGATTCCCGCATTGTTGATGAGAACGGTAGGATCGCCGACTTGAGTTCGGATCAACGTGCAAAGAGTCTTGAGTGCTTTTGTGTCGGTCAGATCACACTTGAAGAAGTGGATGTTGGAACCTTTCTGAGGCTCCCATGATAGCGGAGCCAGGTCGACAACAACGATAGTCGCCTGGGGGTTTCTGGCCAAGACATGTTTGATGATACTGTGGCCGATGCCGCTGCTGCCACCGGTGACAACAATTATTTCTTTGTCAAAATCCCATGTGTGGTCTGTCGTCCAGTTGTTTGCTGACCATTTGTTGAGATACTCGGTGGTTGACAAGACGAAGCTTGCTAGAGCCGCGAGGAACGCAACGCGCTGAGCGGTGTCAAATCTGATGTCTGAGAGTCCGACCGCTCCGTTCTTTTTTGCTGATACCACCGCCAGTCCAGTTGCAAGCGGTATCGAGAGGTATGGATTGAGGACTGATTTTCGGAGCCATCTGGCAATCACGTCGACCGTGAATCCTTCTCGTGAGGTCAACATGGTGCAGTTGTCGCTAGCGTCATCAATCCCACGAGACAATTAAGACAGATAGGACTTTTGATCATTAAATGAAGCTTGAATACTGTTTGGGGTTGGTATTTCAATGTTCTGGGCGAAACTGTCACGTTTCAACGTGAGCCGAGATCGACGCCAACAGCTTTAGAACGATCCCTCCAAAGTGAGGAGCCGAGGTCCGGAGCCACTTCCACGAGATCAGACCAAGCGACTTGATACCCCAATCTGCACGAGCATGAGGTTTGGAGATCCAAGCTTCCTTTCCCTGCACGTCAAAGTGAGGGGCATCCCCCACGCAATAATGCAAGGGTCTAACCTGAAGAAGCACCATGATGCTACGTGGGAGACCGGTCTTTGTGACGAGTTTAAACGAGTGCGAACTACCTTGTCGGCCAATTCACACCAAGCTACTGTTACCTCTGCCACCCTGAACAATCTTGAATTATGCCTCGGTCGGAAGCATCGGTAGTTGGAGCGTCTCTTCGGTTGCCCGTGCCACCTGCGGATTCCTGCGGACAGACTTGTCAGTGACATTCTGAGCCACATTTGCGTTTCTTGTCCATGTCAAACCTCCTGTCTGAACCTGTCTGAACGTTTCTCCAGACTTCCAAAGCCACCCTGCGCTGTGCGGTGGTGGTTGCTTACTCACTTGCCAGTTACTCGTAGCACAGCCTTTGCTCATTTCATTTATGTCGGCCATACGGCTGGATCGTAGACAGCTTTGACACCAGACGAACCGAATCTTTAGGCACACCAGTAGACTTCTTTCCGGGTGCGATCATCGCGTGCGAGTGCGACTGAGAAACGAGAAAACATGTCGGTATCGAGACCGCAGCTTTCGCTGTGGGAGAAGAGAGACTTGGTCTTTCGTTTGCTATTCCGTGGTATGTCTCGCCTTCAACATGGCTACTCCTTTACAGCGAGGCATTGAATGGTGACTGACTCCGTGTGTTGATAGCTCCGATACAACTGGCGTGGAATTTCCTCTACGGCATCCCGTTTGCTATCGCGAGAGGCGTCTCTATCCGCTTCTTTGCCTTCTGCGCGTATTATCGTTTCGCTCTGGGGTCGATGAGAGCACGCGAAATACAATTCCTCATCCCTCCTTCGATCAAGACGTACGCGAAATGGATCGCGAAAAAGCAGAAGCGTCATCCAGAGCTCGCGGACAAGCTGCAGAAAAAGATCGAGTCTCTCCCTGCTAATGACGGCTCGATCTTGTGGATCGGCAATCGTCAGAAGGCCACAAAGTTTGTGTTGTTTTTCCATGGCGGCGGATACGTAGTGCCTCTTCTCCCCGGCCATCTCGACTGGTGCTGGAACGCGTATGTGACCGGCGGCCCTGGAGCTCACGCAGAGGTTGCCGTTGCTATCTTGCAGTACACTCTCGTCCCCGAAGCTCGATATCCGACACAGCTCCGTCAGGCGATCGCGGCGTTCAACCAGCTCATCCTATCCGGCATCAAACCCAACGACCTCCTCATTGGCGGCGATTCGGCCGGAGGCAACCTGGCGTGCTCCGTCGTTCGCCACATCTGCCACCCATGCCACCTCGAGATCCCAGCCCTGCGCCTGGAGAACCGTCTTGCAGGTGTGTTCCTGGTGTCGCCCTGGCTTAGCAGCAAGACGACGACGCCGGCTTTCACAGAGAACAACTACGTCGACATGCTCACCACGACATGTATGTCCCGTGCCACGGCCGAGCTCCTTCACCCGCGATTCCCCGTGCGGAATAAGTCCGACGAGAGCGATCTCGCCATGGCGATGCCAATGGACGGCGACATGGCGTGGGTGGATGAGATTTCTGCGGCGACCAAGAGTCTGTACATCACTGGAGGTCAGCAGGAAGCTTTCAGAGATGATATTCGCGCGTTCTCGGAGCACGTCAGCTGTGGCAATAATGATCTGGATCTGCTAGTCGAATTGCCGGAACGCGAGGCTCATGATTTCATCTTGCTTGAGGGTCAGACGGGGCGTGTGGGCGATGCGACGGTGAGGATGAGAAATTGGGCGAGTTCACAGTTGGGCACCGGGCGCGCTTCAGTGTAATGTAGCATGACAGGGGAGAGCCACACATGTTTGAGAGGTGGTGGTGGTGGTGGTGAGTTATTCGCGCCAATAAACTCATTGATTGATTCATTCGCGAGCGAATAAATTATGATCGGATATGAGAGAATGACCATGTGCCAGCGTATGTTGAGGAATTGTATTCGCGTGCATTTCGCTGTAAGCAATGGAGGTTGAGAGTGAGATTGAAGCTTATGATTGTGAGACTGGTGAGTGGTCTTTTTCGCTCGCTGTCACGCTTCCAAGCTGTAACAATGTGAAATTTCACTGTTCATCGCAGTGCAGTGAGGCGACAAGTGCTCCTGAGTCATCATATCCAAACCCTGGCTTATCTAGTGCCTTGAACCCCGGTTCTTATCCCAGTCAGAATGAGCGGTCTGGTCGAATTAGAGAAGGCATCTTCTGCATCTGTCCGCACCACCTGCTTGAAGAAGACGACAAGTTTGCCGACGGTCTCGCCAAGCGAGGCCTATTTTGGCCGCTTTGAGAGCGGGGTGGAAAGAAACCGACGCGTCGCGTCCACAAACTCCAGGCGATAGACGGCACTGCATATCGTCGAGGCTTTTTGACGATAACACACATTCTGCGGGGCATTTTGAGTGCTTTCTGTTTCTTCTCGGATTGTAATAATACTGTGAGTCTCAGGAAACATACCACCAAACTCTCAGACTCACTTTGCTCACTTACCCCTCATATTTCAGCTGTGGCCATCGTCGGCGAGATGCCTCCAGATCAACCCCCCCTCAACTGCGCCTACAACCGTGACGATGTCGTCGCTGGCCTTACTCAATACTATTCGGCTCTCACGCGCCTCGCCTACATTCCATCATCATACGTCGACTTCCCACCGCCAGGAGGCTGGACAGATGCCGATCTAGATATCGGCGCCCTGCGCGCTCTGCGACGCTCCGAGGTCGTTATCGACCTGCTGCGCCATCTCCCCTACGCCAGACCGATGCACGACGGACCTCGTCCGGGCCCCTGGAACGTCGCACCACAAACCAAGGCTGTGCGCTACCTCCGTCACATGGGACACTTCAGCCAGTGGTCCGATCGCGGCGACGCGGGGCTTCATGAGCTCGCTGCCCTTCCCACGCGCGACACGGGAGCCGCTCCGATGGATTTGCCGCCGGATGTTGTCTGCCTCACGTATGGAGAGTACCGTTCTTCCAGTTCGCGCACGAAGCCTTACTGGTGGATCATAGACTGCAGCCGAGGTATCCTCACGCCGTACGAGGAGAACCTCTACACTGTTGGGAAGGTCCCGCGTAACAAGCCGTGGCGGTGTGTACGGTCGTACTCTGTTACAGATTACTTCTCTCAGCTTGTGTCAAGCTTAGGTGTTCAGCTGTTCCCCGTGCCGCCGACCGAGGACGACGACGCTGAGATCCTCGACCCGAGCGCTCTCGCCAAGTCGTCGGAGCCGGTGGATATCTACAGCGCCCACGGCTGGGGCACTGGCGACCTCGCAGACTTCAAGCACGACGAGTGCATCGTCGCGCTCCAGGGCTGGCGGCGCCGGGTACACGAGGCAGAACAGAGAAAGATTGCTCAGGACGTTGACGACGCAGACGATGAGGACTTTGAGATGGACGACAGTGATGACGATGAGGATGCGGCGCACGAGGGAGAAGCGGGCGACGGACTTGCTGATGCCGTGGCGGATATGGAGATGGATGATTTGAGTGCCGAAGCTGCTGCTCTGAGAGCCGATATGAGCCCAGAGGAGCGTGCAAAGTTTGATTGCAGACAGACGCAGTCGCACTTTGAGTGGATCGACGAGGAATGATTGAGATGCAGCATGCCTTATGAAGCCAAGTTTGTCATTCATTTGCAGCTAGTAGATGAGATATAGAACGATGCCAAAAGATAATGACCACGCCCACACCCCTGTAAGTCAAGTTCAAGATCCAGGTACAAGTCAAGACAGACTCGCATCACATCTTCGATTCATGCATCACCCTCTTCACCTCATAGTCCCAATTTGGATCGCTCCCCTGACTGTGCTTCTTCAACAAGGCCATCGAGTTGCCTCGCAGAACCTCAGGCGCAAGAACCGACCCCCTCGGATGAGATGCAACAAACCCTTCGTATGAGAGAACCTGGAGCTCAATCAGCGGGTCAGGGCAGTATGGGAAGTCCGATCCGAATAGAATGTGAGACGGATCGGCAAAGTCGAGTAAGCCACCTAGCTGTGTCGGGCTGGAGCTCAATGCTGTGTCGTAGTAAAACCGAGCAAAGTCCGCTTGAGCAGTCTCGTAATCCACAGCGACGACATCTGCGAGAGCTGGGATGTTGAGTGTTCCCAGGACACGGGTGGCTAGGAATGGGAGAGTTCCTCCGGCGTGCGAGAGAATCACGTCGACATCAGGACAGGCGTGGAGGGTCCCGGTCAGGACGAGGTCCACCGCAGCTCGGGTAGTTGCGAGTGGGTAGTCGACGATCGGCTGCGGGAGAGTTGAAGCTATGAGCTTCGGCGTCACGTCGAGGCCCGTCGGGTGGAGGAAGATGAGAACCTTGTGAGCTTGAAGCTTCTCCCAGATGGGCTTGAAGGCTGGGTCACCGAGGAGCTTGCCCCCATAGGAGGTAAAGACGGTTACACCATGGCAGAGTCTTTGCTGCTGGTAAAGAAACTCGATTTCTGATACTGTGCCGTCGACGTCTTGCCAGTCCGGTAAGACTCCAAAGAACCCCAGACGTTTCTCTGTCGATGACTTGTTGATCTGGTCTGCGAGATCGCTATTTAAGGTACGTGCAAGCTTTCGCCCGTCTTCACCACTTCCCGCGATTGATGCACCGGGAGCGGAGACTGACAATATGCCTAGCCATGCCATTAGTCGAATGAAGGAATGATACAGTCGTCTCCCCTAATTTATAGAACTTACCTATAGATGTGCTGATGTTATCCATTAGCTTCACGGTGGCATCTAGGGACCACTCAGGCGATGGAAACCCGGAAGGGTCGCCTCCTGCGGCATTCACAGCTGCAAGGTACGCCGGGGGAAGGGCGTGGATGTGTGTATCGATACGTCCTGACATGTTGAACTGGTTTTGATTCTTGTTCAGTATCATGGAACTTTTGGAGTTGTATACTCATCTTGTTAAGTACACCTCATGAAGTGTACAAGTGTTGTGGCAACCACTCCTAAGTCCCCGGCCAATACACGGAAGCATAGTGCCGATGGCCGGCCCCTCTCGACACCGAGCTGCCGAACTCAACCACTTTGGTCGTCATTGGGTGCCCCTAGTGGTCGGCGTCAGATATTCGCTAGCTCCGACATTTGTATCAGGAACGGCATTCGGTGTGTACAATGACCGCGAGCAATCTTTCACTACGCCAATATCAGCTGTGACGGTGTTTAATTTCGGTATATTCCTTACGCGCGACGTTGAAGTCCTCAAAGCCTGAATGCCTATTTGACAAAAGAAATCGACTGTGAACGCAATGGAGCCACCATGCTAGATAATAGGTAAAGAGATCTGCATGACACCGAATAGGTTCCTTGCAAACACGGTTCGCCTACACCGTAGAGGAATTTGATGGAAGCCATGTATGAAATAACAGGTCGAGCTTCAGTCGAATTTGCATGCCGGATCTTCCACATCATGAGCTTGCCGTTACGTAGGAAATTCCTATCCATTTCGGACGACTATGACACAAAGTTTGACCACCTGAAGCTATGACCTGGCCCGAAAAGTATATGTTGTGTGATTGCCTTGGAGCTGCGTTTCTCAGCATATTAATTTCTTGAATTACCGTTACAAAATAAGTACCTAGAGAAAGCTCGTTGTGATTCCGATGAGCTCGGTTCACCAGTTTGCTCGTATTTTCCGCGTCTGTAGTCGTTTCTCAGGTAGCACTGGCAATGGTCACGCCTTCAGCTTGGTGAGCGAGGTGGAAGCAAGGAGATGAATGTGCAAATCCCCCATGTAGGGACATCGCTTGAAGGGCCGTTACACTCACGAACCCGAGCCGTCAAAATGCTCGAAAAGAAAGAACAGTAATCGGCGGCTCTAGGCCGAGAAGATCGTCACTCAGAACGTCATCAGGTCTCCCTTATGTAGTGCGACATTGCTTGTCGTACCCGCTTACCTCGCCCAGCGCTCAGCAAGGTCCTTGATACCTCAGCAGGCTTTCATATTGGTCTTCCAGCCAAGGAATCTTTCCATCCCTATGGGCAGCGGCCGAGAGCTCTCGCTTGTGAGGTTTATCCCAGCTCTTCAATCCACATTTCAGCCAGTGTTTCGCTTGCCATCTCTGCGTGCGCTCCATCACAAGTCACTGGTGACTGATGTTCGTGCGGTGTTGCATTATCCGGAATTCTGCAGGGCTTCGCAACTAAGACATCGTTGGAGATTCTTACCATATCCAACGACACACGTTATCTGTAGCACCACATGCTGGAGCTGACAACTGACCATATTTCTGGCTACCCTATGAAGAGAGTGAGCGCCATAACATTGGCTGTCTTGAAATAGCGGCTGAAAACGTCTTTTGCTCAGCCCAATTGCATACCTGGCTGCCTTCCTATCATGTACATTCTACCGACAATCATGCATCGGCCACTCCTTTGCCCCTGCTAGTGCTTACTCACTTGGCTCAACATCGGCCCTGATTACCTATGATGATCACGACTTTCGCTTAAATGAAGCTGTGAAAAGCGTAATTTTTCTGCTGCTTGTGTATGAACTATTGTCAAGGTCGTTAGACCTCTTCGTACTTCCTTCCTTGAGCATGGAGATCTCCGACCAATTCAAACTTGACCCCCTGTCTACCTCACGATCAATTCGACTAGTAGTGCTCCAAAGAAGCGCGAAGAGAGAACCTTTTCAAGAACCTCTCAGCTGCCGCCTTGTAGAAGCGAACGTGGACTGCCCGCCCTCATACGTTGCGCTATCTTATACCTGGGGCGGAGAAGAGCCGTGCGAACCGCTCACAATACGAACCTCTGGATCATCCACCAAACAATTGTTAATAACTCCTAACTGCGCTGCAGCACTGAGGTTGTTGCGTCGATCCCTTCAGCGAAAATCGAAGAGCCGCCGTAGCTTGAGTGTCTGGATAGACGCCATCTGCATCGTCCAGACATCCGACGATGAACGCAATGCTCAAGTGGCCATGATGGCCGAGATCTACCAGCGCGCAAAAACTGTAGTCGTTTGGCTTGGAGAGGATCATGCACCGGCAACTTGGGGCAGTCTGGCATGTTCGAAGCCTCTGGCCTTGTTCCCACGTCTGGGGTATGATCGCGGTCGTAATGAAGGACTAAAGAGCTTAGCTGCCAGAATAGCTCTGAAAGGTACGATGCCGCACATATCCTGATCATCAAATTTTCTCATCAACCTCTAATCAAGAAAAAGTTTGCAACAATGATACGCTACATCACTTGAGACTATCACCCTACTGGACACGGGTATGGACGCTCCAAGAATTCGCCCACAAGAACTCCGCCGTCCTCTGCCGTGACTCCCGACTCTTCGTCTTCTCAAGCCTTGCCCGTCTCCTCGCAGTGGCACCAAAAGATGAGAGCGTACCAAGTCAGCAGGGCATGGACCTACATGTGGACCTCTACGAATGGCAAGCAATGGCAACGGTACGGCCGTTCCGCGCAGCAACGAACCAACTTCGTCGCGTCCTTACAATGCAAGCCTCAGAGCCGCGAGATAAGATCTTTGCGCTACGGGCACTGTCCCCAGGTGTGCTCGGCAAAATGACGGTGGACTACCGGAAACCTGTCGGAGAGGTCTTTCGGGACGCAACGAGGCTTATGGTTGAAGAGGAGGATAGCTTGCGGGTACTGTACTTTTCTAACCGGAAGAAGACGACGGCCGGTGTTGCGTGGGAGACCATGCCGTCGTGGACAGTCGACTTTGCGACTACGGATTCCGAGGTGAGGGGGTCGTATAAGTACTACTATACCAGTCTTTGCGCAGCTTCTGCCGGCGCCAAGTCGTATTTCGCGTTCTCTGGCGACGGGAGGAGACTCACTCTTCGAGGGGCACGTGTAGGGAAAGTAGGGAGTTTTGTGAGCGACAAATTTCCTACCAAGAGCCAGTGCTCTGAGGGAAGATGCCATGACCATGACAAGATGATGGCAGACAAAGACGAAGAGTGTGAGGAGAAGCGATTCTTTCCGCACGTCTGCGAAAGCCCGTATTTAGATGTACTCGGCAACTTCATGAGGAGCGTTACGAGCACCATCTGGGCAGGACCCAAGCTCGACGCTATGGGCCGCAGTCTCTACGAGTTGCTATGGTGGATCATCCAAGGGCCAAAGAAGCATGAATGGTCGACATCCATGTCATTAACGTCAACTTCAACATCCACATCATCATCGTCATCTTTCAACAAGGCGGTACGAGGTATGTCAGTCGTCTCATCACTCGTCAAGTGGGACTCGCGGCGCGGGTGCCAGTGCCGAGTCGAACTCCGGCTAGGACGGTTATTCTACACGCTTGACAGGAGGGCTGGATTTGGAGTTGTTGGCGTTCGGGAGGGTGATGACGTTTGCCTTCTCGCTGGGATGGATCATCCGTTCATATTGCGGCCTTGTAAAGGTGAGGTCGGAAGGTATACGATAGTAGGACCAACGGTGTTTGCTAGTGCGATGGGCGGTGAGATGTGGCCGACCGATGAGAATGAGCTCGAGTACTTTGAGATTGTGTAAGACACGGTGTAAGAAATTGTGTAAAACTGTATTAGACGGTATGAAGCATTTTCTCGCGACATTCCCAGATGGCAGGAACATCTGTTCAATGTTAAATTAGTAGTTGATTATACAGACGTGTAGAAGTGATTGATGAAGCTCCGTAGCATGCTCTCTACGTTCGTGAAGAAGCGCGTCAGAACTCAATCCCTCGGCCCCTGAAGTGCCAGTATCTGCGATTAGACTTTCGATAGGAAATGAGAAATCCTTCAAGACGAGCGGGCACTAGCTTTGTGAATTGACTCTGACAATTCAGCATCGGACCTTTCCTTCGGGCAGTCCGACCGAGTCAATCATCTGAAGAGTACCTGCTTTGCTCCCAATTCTCCAAGCGCGGACGTACAAGCCATCTTGTAGTCCATCCTCAAGCCCAGCTTCAAGAGTACATAAGAAGCAACAGCCCTGTCGAGGCTGACAACAAATGACGTTGTACTGGAGTTCTCCGTGTGTGCGTATGTGCGTCGTACGTGCGGTGTGCCCCTCTTTGTACAACACATCAACTTGCCAACAACCATTTTCTCGCTGCTGCCCCGCCACTAAGCCTCGTCTCGGAGCCTCACTTTAGGGGTGTTGCCAGTTGAAGAGGTGGGTTAATTGACTTTAGGCTGTGCCTTCATGCAAGACCATCCCTGACTCTCACCAACCTAGGATGAGTGCTCTTTTTGAAAAAGTGCGCCCAACGGCCCCCCGCCGCCGATGATGAAAGTACGGTTCGGACGACTCTGAAACCCCAAGTGAAGCACCTCAAAGGCCGCCAAACGGCCCCTCCAACCGGAACCAACACCAAGTTGCCAACCCCTCTTCTGGCGGAAATCTCATCGGCCTCATCCCGGTACGGCACCCAAACATCCGATCCAGAGCCCTTTGCCGCTTCCCACATGATCATGCGGGAAGCTCCTGAAAGTGTAATGCGAATTGGGCTATTGGAGGACGAAGAAGAGAGTTAGGGTATAGCAGACAAGCAGACTCTCTCTTTGCCCACTGATATATGGGCCAGTCTGTGCCCGCATGAAAGTCGTTACATCGAATGACATCTTTCCCTTCTCTCCCCCCTGGGCCTCTCCCTCTGCGCTCTCCTTCCTTCCATCCCATCTTCTACTCATCGTAGGCTTGGCGCTTTTACGCGCATAACGCATTTCCCTCACGAGCTTCCATCATCAGGCGGGCGATTTTCAAAGAAAAAAAAAAGATGGCGAGACTCACAAGCTGGCTTATCCTCTCAGCATGGGGAGGAGCAGCCTCCGTATCGGCTCAAGGCCTTCACGAGTTGGCTGTGAAGTCAGGGAAGCTCTTCTTCGGCACGGCGACGGACACGAACCTCTTCAACGATGCGGCGTACATGGCGGTCCTGAACAAGACGGGCGAGTTCGGCCTCGTGGTGCCGGAGAACAGCCAGAAATGGGACGCGACGGAGAAGACACAGAATGAGTTCCAGTTCACGAATCCGGATTCCGTGAGGGCCGTCGCGCAGGCGAATAAGCAGATGATGAGATGTCATGCGTTGACATGGCACTCTCAACTTCCACAATTCGGTGCGTTCAGGCTCGTCCTTGAGCTTAAAGCCTCGAACCTCCAACTCAATACTGACCAAAGACCACAGTCTCAACGGGCACCTGGACCCCAGAAACCCTCACCCCCGTAATCCAAGCACACATCTCCAACGTGGTAACGCACTACAAAGGCGCCTGCTACTCATGGGACGTCGTCAACGAAGCCCTCGCCGACAACGGCACTCTCCGCGACAGCGTCTTCTCCCGGACGCTCGGCGCAGACTTCATCCCCATCTCCTTCAAGGCCGCCGCGGCAGCCGACCCGGCCGCGAAGCTGTACTACAACGACTTCAGCCTCGAGTTCAACTCCAACAAGACGGACGGCGCCGTCAAGATCGTGCAGGATCTCAAAGCCGCAAACGTGAAGATCGACGGCATCGGGTTCCAGTCGCATTTTCAAGTCGGCAAGACGCCGTCGCAGGATACGCTGAACAAAGTCATGACGCGCTTCACGGATCTGGGGCTGGAGGTTGCGCTTACGGAGTTGGATGTGCGGCATGATAAGTTGCCTGCCGATGATGCCGCGATACAGCAGCAGGCCAAGGACTACGGCACCGTCGTCAAGACGTGCGTGGACAACGCAAAGTGCGTCGGCATCGTGGTATGGGAGTTTACGGATAAGTACAGCTGGATCCCGTCCACGTTTTCGGGGGCTGGGGACGCGTGCTTGTTCGATAAGGATATGAAGCCCAAGCCGGCGTATACGGCTGTTGCGGCGGCTTTGGGAGGGCCAGCAGTAGCAGCAGCTCCGGTGGTCGCACCGGCGCCGGCGGCTGGGGCTCAGGACGCGGAAGTGGTGCTATCGTCGGGAAGCAGTGCAGCTGGTGCCGGGGCCGGGATTGAGGCCACCGATGCCGATGCCGGGACCGAATCCGAGGCCGATGCCGACAGCGGAGCGGGGGCATCCTCAAAATCAAAGGCGAAGAGCAATGTGGAGGCAGCGACCAAGTCACCTTCCTCTTCGGGAACACCTCGCTTTGAAGCGGTGCTGCTGATTTCACCGCTGGTAGCCACCGGTATCGGCTGGCTCTTTTGGTTGGTGATATGATTTGTTAGACGCTTCTTTCTTGTTACTTAGCTTTTTCTCTTGATGGCACAATTCTTGATACCAATTGACAATATATCTCCCGGATCTTTCCCATCCCAGAACTTTGAGATCGCCGATAGCAAATCATTGAGGATTGACGTGCTTCGGCTGCGACGTTGCGTGTGTCAATGGGAGCCCGGTGCGCGGGTGGTGTAAGTGAGGAGATGGATGATGTCATGCCGGCAACCACCTCCACTGATAAAAGAGAGACCGGGGGGGGCTGGTTAAGCGGATAGGAATCGGGATGATGCGATTTCAAAGCGAAGAGGGGAAAGAGAAATTCTGCCAAAAGACCGCGGTTCCCATCAATTGAGTTGTCCCAGTCATTGTTCGTCAACCTGTGAACAGCATCCAAATACTGTGGACTGGAAATCACAGTGAGAAGCAGGTTTCTGAATAGCTTCACTATGGTGTACCTCAAGACACTAGTCGCCGCCGCCGCCGGCGCAGGCCTGGCCCTAGCTTCTCTCTCTGGCCTCGACAAGATCCCTCCTCTGGGCCTGGGAACATGGCTGTCCGACAAGAGCAAGGTCGCCGACGCCGTTGCCTTTGCCGTGGGCGAGGTAGGCTACAACCATATTGACGCCGCTCTCATCTACCGTAAGTTCCATCTCGTAACTCACATGCCCTTCCTCACATGCTCACGCGAGTCAAACAACTCACACGAGTCATCCGCATCTCTCACTTCAAACCACTTTCATCGAGATCCATCGTCCCGCAAACTGACGACCCACCCCAGGAAACGAAGACCAAACCGGCAAAGGCCTCGCCTCCTCCGGCGTTGCCCGCAAAGATGTCTGGGTCACCTCCAAGCTCTGGAACACCGACCACCGCGCCGACCGCGCCGCAGCCGCCATCAAGAAGTCCATCTCGGACCTGGGCGTAGACTACCTCGACCTCTATCTAATCCACTGGCCCGTCGCCTTCATCCCCGACGACCCCAACAACGCCCTCGACCGCGAAACCACCCTCGTCGACACCTGGAAGACCCTCGAAGGCTTCGTCAAAGCAAACTTAACCCGTCACATTGGCCTCTCCAACTTTGCCAAGGCCGACGTCGAGACAATCTTGAAGGCGGCGGAGATCAAGCCCTACGCCCACGAGTTCGAAACCCACCCGTACCTCCAACAACAAGAGTTCGTAGACTGGCACAAGGAAAAGGGCATCGAGGTCATCGCCTACTCCCCGCTCGCCAACACGAACCCGACGTACAGCGACGACCTGCCCGCCATCTACCAGGACAAGTTCTGGGTCGACGTCGCCGCCAAGAAGGGCGTTTCCGTCTTCCAGGCCGTGCTGGCGTGGGGTATCCAGCGGGGCACAAGCGTGATTCCCAAGAGCACAAAGGACTCGCACATCATTTCGAACCGCAAGGCGCTCGAGATCGAGTTCACCGAGGAGGAGTTGAAGGAGATTGCCAAGCAGGATAAGAAGCACCGCTTGAGTAACCCGGGTGCCAAGTGGGGTGTCAAGCTATTTGCTGATTTGGATGATCCTGGCAGAAACGAGCCCACGAGCGAGGAGCTTTAAGCAACAGCTCGGGAAAACTAGAATATTGAAACGAATAAGGGCTATCTAGTGTCATCTAGCCCAGTCTCCAAGATGTAATCATCGCACGTGTCTTTCTTGTGTCTCTCGCAAGTAGATACATAAGTCCAATTTGCTAGCTATTGATATGTGCCACCTCCATCGATGAAACACATCGTTCTAGTTGTTTAATCAGTGGTCGGCCCTATTGCAATGGGCATAATACTTCCTCCTAGCCCAGTAAAACCCAAGCCCAACAATCCACAGCACAATCAAGATGAGTGCCTGCACAGGAGCAAAGATAGCGCCTCTCACAACCACAAATCCACTGACCAGCGCAAACACAATGGGGATCAGTACAAATGGCTTGTATGGTCTACGCAGCTTCGGCTCTCGAACGCGTAAAATGACGGCACCAAGGACTGTCAAAAAGAAGAACGTGTACTCGCCTAGACCGTTGAAGGTCAAAAGGGCTCGGAAGTTGCCAAACAGAATGTACAGCGCCGAGAGAATCGTCGATAGCAAGAGCGCGTTGAGCGGTGCGTCGGATCTCGCGTGCGCAGGCCCAGACGAAGCATCGGCGGAAGAATCGGCTGGCGAGCTCTCCTCCGACTTGAATCCCACACGGCCTACGAAGCCGAGGAACTTGGGTAGCCAGTTGAAGTTTGATGCTGCGACGGTCATGCGGCCCGCGACGAAGGAGTTGCCGAGGAGGGAGCCGGCAACAACGAGGCAGATGAGGACTGCAGCGACGATGCCGAAGGCGGGGCCGAGGAGGCGGTTGATGGCGGTCTAGCTATTGTGAGCACGGGAAAGGAGTAGATTGAGGAGGTTGGTGGGCATGACTTACGACTGCCACGCTGTCGGTCGAGGCAACCACATTCCAGGGGAGAAGGATATAGTAGGCTGCATTGGCCGCGATGAAGCATAGAATGATGGTCGGTACGGCAGTGTTGATGGCCAGAGGGAGCTGGCGTGCCGGCTGCTGAAGCTCAGCAGAGACGTAGACGGCCTTGACAACGTTAGATGCACCCACTAGTAGATACCAGGACGAACGACGTACCTTGTCCCAGCCAGAGTACGCCCACAGAGCACCGTAGAGCGCAGCAGAGTAGTAGCCAAGCATATCCCACGTCCCAACCTTGTTCCAGTCCAGCTCGCCGCCACCCGGCAAAGACGTCTTGCGGTTCCCGAACCAGGGCTTATTAAACCAGTCCCGTCCGCCAACATCACGGTCGTGGTCCGATACTTGAAGGATGACGACGACGATGCCGGCAAGCACCACGGCAAAGATACTGGTAAACTTAGTCACGACAAACAAGTTGTTCAGGCGAGTGCTCGCCTTGGTGCTGATGGAGTTGGCGCCGTTCATAACGACGAGAATCAGAATCGAGAACAATTTGTGCGGGAGAGCCCCGGCCTGGTCGGTCACCCCGCCGGCGGAGTAGATGCTCTCGACGAATACGATGCTGAGGATGGCGAGGGTGGCTGGCATGACGGCCACGATCCAGGTCCAGGCGGCAAGGAAGCCAAAGACATCGCCATAGATGTGCTGCAGGAAGGGCTGGACACCGCCTGTTCACATCATCAGCGCTATCCCACCACACAGAGACTCGTCAAAGGGGGTTGAACTCGCCTTCACCAGGGATCGCCGTCCCCAGCTCAGCCATGGTACTCGCACCAGTCCACGCCAGGACACCACCCACAAGCCAAACTATGAGCGCAGCTCCGGGAGACGGGACATTTGTGTCGATGGAACCCGGAGAGGTGAACACGCCGCTACCAATGACGATGCTGATGACAATGGCAAACGCCTCGACGGCGCCGAGGTTCTTGGAAAAGGTACCGGCCCCGCGCTCCTCAGCGATGAGGACCGGAGGTTCAGGCCCATCGGTGCCGCCGTACTCATGATGGGGGTCTGCCAAGAGGGGCCGTTCCGCGGCATCTTCGGATTGTGTGTTGGACGGCATCTTCCCGTTTTCGTCTGCTTACCAGCGAGGGACCGTTGCCAATTGGATGAGGGGGTCCGGAAAGATGTCGAGGGAATGAGGGACAGGGAGCTTGGAGCTTGGAGCTTGAAGCTTGGAGCTGGAGCTGGAGCTTGGAGTCACCCGACGAATCAGGCATAGTGTCTTTGGTGTATCGGAATGGGGATGAGCTCATCGATGGCCGGTACGTATCTTCGAAGAGATGGTCCAAGCACTGAGGTGGTCTGAACGCCGGGTCCGCTGTTACCAACCGTTCACTTGTACCTAGGCAGGAGGCGGCCCACTTTGGGCAAATTACCTAATGCAGAGGTCAACGGAACGCTGCGTCTCCGCGCCGAGAGCTTGCCTGCCACCGCAAGTGGAATTCACCGGAGTGAATGCCGCCGGACCAGATCCCGTCGGAGCAACGTCCGTCGGAGTGGGCTCCGGGATCATCATATCTACGTCTCATAGCTTCAATGAGGGGTGAGATGCTGTCAAGTTCCAAAGAGCATTGAAGTATCATGGCTCGAGTTCGCATAAACCAAGAGCATCATTCATGTTGCTTCGCGCACACGACTGCCTTGGCCCAAGACAGTCAGTGCTATGAGGATGCCAGGTACTAAGTACTGGCCGATTGACTCTTGAGACTCGTTCTATAGTTGAAGATTTACATTAGGGTGCTAGCAACGAAGATCGTTGAGCAAGTACTCAAGCGCTCTAGATGAGAAGTACGCTTGATTAACACTGTTGTACGCAGCATGTTGTTCTCCGAGATTCTGCAACGTATCATCGAGACTCTCAACTATGGAGCCCACGGCACTGTACACATGAGGCTCGATTCTAGCGAGCGAGAGCACTGACTGAATAGTCACGGAGGTACTCTCCTTGGGCAGTTGTGAGAGTGGTAGCTGGCGGCCAAGTGAGCCGAGAGCAGTGGCCATGCGTACTTGCCTGTCAGACCATTGAAGGGCTGACTGGGTAGCAGATTGAGGATCACTCTCAAGAAGTGATGATGCGCCATCGCGCGCAACGGGTGACGTAGGTTGCTTGAATCGGAAAAAGACAACAAAGTCACCACTAGATGTGGACAGCGGCGCCCAGAGCAACCCGGATATGGTACGAGCACTTGCAGCGATCTCCACATCAGGCAGTTCAGCCGCCACGTCTGTCGAAATGATGACAGATTCACTTCGGTATGGTTGGATACACCGCACAATCGCCGTTGCCTCTTGGTACAACTCTTTGCTAGGCTCTCCAAGTCTGCCAATCTCTCCTCTGGTAGACGTCAACGCAAAATCGGCGCCAAAGAGGCGCAAGAGGTCCTGTGACGCTGCGGTGCTCTCGTTGGGATATCGGATCGAATCGCCTCGAGCTTGTGACGATTCAACATGACCCAGCATAGAAGCGTATGACAGTCTTTCGATCGCGACCCCAGATGTACTGCCAATGAACTCGCACATTTGGCGTTTGGAAATGGGTAGTGGTGTTCCTTCGGGACTATACCCGTAGCAGACTACCAGCCCCCATCGCTTACCAAAGGCGTTGATTGGAATGGTCAAGAAGGAGCGAGCTTTGTAGTCCTCGGCCGCGAGCTCTTCAAAGAAAGTTGGCGAAGCTCTGTTGAGGTAGGATCGGTCCAGGTGGATAGATCCGTGCTGATGGGATCCCGCACTTTTCCAGACGAGTCTCGCAGGACTAGCATCGCTATCGTGTAGAATCCTGAGGTGACTCGGGAAAGGCGACTGATGGTTAACGTTGCCGGCGCGGGAGGGCCTCGTGAAATGAATGCATCGCTGCGAGCCCCGCCATTCCCTGTCGGAGGTGTCGAGTATCGTTATAGCCATGAACTCGTCGATGCGATACAAAACGACTCTATCGAACCCCGTGACCTCTTCCACTGCAGCCACGATGGTTTCGGGGACCGCCGCGAGACCTGCTATGGCGGCGAAGGATGCCTGTATCTCTGACATGATCCCAATTGCCTGCATAGTGCTCAACTCCACACTATCTTTTCCGACTCTCCTAAACATTCGAGGGGTTTTCGTCACAACGTCTCTCGTGTAACTTCGTTGACCCACTGGGGTGGCAGAGCCATCCTCGTGTGGCTCGAATTCGCAAACGATCGTTTCGGGGCCTGGAGAGTCCCTAGTAAGGTGCATGGAGCACCAAAATCTTGTAGCTTCGCCATGTTTGGGGATAATCGACAGGTTGAAAACAGCACGGCCACCTGTAGCTCCTACATCGGATTTCTCTTCTCTGAGCAAACCAAGCCGAGCCATCAAGGTTCTCACATCGTCTCGCTCCAAGATGCTGCCAAAGTCTTCGAGTCCGAACAGGTCATCCGGGGAATAACCTGTAAATGTGGCCGAATTGTCGCTCGCGCAGTTGACCACGAGACGGCTGGCATTGTCCTCGTTCACGATGAGTGCAACCAAGAAGCCAAAGTGTTGTATAGTGTTGGACGCGGGCTCGAGGATGTTATCGAGATGTTGGTGTATTTGGACATCGTCGTCGATTGGGCGTGCAGGCTGAGCCATAGCCGCCCCGAACGACTAGACTGTGCCGTGTCTCTAGCTTATCCGCCACATATGATGCCGATGGACCGCGTGTAAATGAATGCCGGATTGAAAGATGGCGTCAGGAAGTACGAGCGATAATTGCAAAGAACACAAGGTCTGCGAGTGATATGTTCGTCTGGTTTCGCTTGCATCGGTGTAGCCAGGCCTGCAATAATACCTAATAGTACATGTAAGCACTGACAGACGTTGATGCTTCGTGAAGAATATCACTCAACATCAGCGACCGTTCTGGAAAACGACCGTGGCAAAATCTTCTTTCCTTCTGCCCACGGGAATAAGTCGAGTCATGAGCGCTGGCCCGTTTCTAGCAAATGCGCTTGGCGCCGTTCAAAGCGTTATTCGTGAGGATTGAAGAGGTCGAAAGAACTGGCAGGAAGCGAGTGGCGGATCTCAACACACATTGAAGCCGATGTACAAACATTTGCCTGCGACATGTCAATCGAACTTCAATCGAGTCGAATCGAAAGAAGTTCGCCCACACGTGGCCGTAGCCATTTCGGGAAATGTACGTAGCCTGACAATCTTATTTCTGCGTCTTGCGCCTTCCCAGTTCCCGTCCCGCCTTCCCCCCGTTGTTATTCGCGACTGCCCGTCCAGAATGACCGGATGATTGGCGGCTTCTGACGTCACTGCTCAGTTTTCTGGATTCTAGACCCCGAGAGCCCGTTTATTCCTAAATTACCTAATGGCCGTATTTGGACCGAAAGAAACTGTGAATGGTTCGTCGAAATCCCGTTTAATATGGTGGAACAGCACAAGCCGGGCTGCACGGTTGAGTGGGTTCACGCATTCCGGGACAAGGCGTATCGCCGCTATCAGACCGTTCAAGAAGAATCATGATTATGAAGTTCAAGTCTCTTCGGGTATGGAGGAAATAAATAAAAACAAAAAGAGATGCTTCTACGAAGAATTCTCCCGCTCAGCGCATACTCCTGAACGCCTCGCTTAAATGTCATGAATGCACTGCTCCCTTACGCCGCCCACTGCCATGTTTGCCTCCCAACAATCTCACCGCTAAATGTGTCTTCCCATCGTCTCTTGGGTTTGTGGACGTGCAATGGAAGCGTTCTTGCGTAAATGATGCGCATATAATAGTCCACAGACATTACAGAGTGTCCACCGACCGTCGGGTCCGTCCCTCCATTGCGGCGTGCTCGTTGCCTGGCAGGAGTGGCAGCAAAGGGAGTCGTCCATCACACGCTTCTATTATCGCGATAATTTAGTTCATGACATCTTGTTGACGGATTGGAAGGGATTACTGAGGGAAAAGGAAGCCTACCACTTTTGAAGTGCGATCAAACGCCGCCACGGTGGAAGAGCGCCTTTTCCTGGTCGCTCTGGGGCTCACAGACTGTTGCCGATCTGCATCTGTGGTGCTTCTGTAGGACAGCAGCGCCAGATCATCCAGGTTGCTGGCGATGACCTCTGATAAACTCTGCGCAGCTAGTATTCTCGAGTTACTGCTCGTCGTCTCCCTAGAGCAATCGCCGCACTCGCAGCCACCTTTTGAACAGGTGCCATCGACCAAACCCTGAATGTTTTGGAGCAACTGTCTCGCATCGTTGTGAATCTAGGACCCTCCGTGTAAGTCGCCACTTGCACCGATCGAGAACGACAAGGGATGAACCGACATCGTCAACAAATTCGACTCACTCTTTGTATCATCTCCGTCGCCTTGATCTGGTCAAAGGATATTGGCGGTAGCGGCGAGTGGGCATCGGCATCGTCCGGCGCTGCATCGGACGCGAATGCATTCGCCGCCGCCTCCCCCTCCGCCTCCGCCGACATCTGCAACCCGAGCTTGGGCCGTTTGTGGTTCAGCTGCGCATCAGGTTTGACGGAAACCATGGAAAAGTCGATGGGATCTGGATGGGAATGTCGATGGGAATGTCGATGTGTTGGGGATCGAGGTTTCGAGGATCGAGATTCGGGGTTTGCGATCACAGGAATCGAAGAAATCGAAGAAATCGAAGAAACCGGTCGGGAAACTGCATGGGGACAGGATGGCAAATTGAACAAGGCCCAGGCGAATTCTGATTAATCGTGTGATGCAAAAGTTGGATGGAAAAGAGCGACAGGATCGGGTATTTGGCTGAGGGATCGGATGTGCTGAGGTACGACAGTTTTATCGAAATTCGATTCCCTCGGGGGCGACTTCGAGAACAGCGCAGTTCCTCCCATCCACCACCGTAATAACGAAGGCCACAGTTATGACGGACCGTTCTTAGAACCCTGCTTAATTGAGAAACTGACAAATTAGCGTGCATGCTATCCGTATGTATCCGTAATTCCGTATGGGCAGGCACCGCATCTTTTCCCCTCTCTCCAACAAACTAACAACCTGGAAAGGGTAAGAAGGGGTCCAAGGGTCCAAAAACTGGGCTGTCTCAAGCAATCAGGGTCTTTAGGCAGTAAGGTACGTACTCGATGTACTTTACTCAAGTTTACTGTGCAGTGTAGGTACCGCGGCTAGCACCCGTCCTTCACTCTGGGTCGTCCGACAATGCACAATCTACTACAGTGGTTACTGTTTATGCACAATCTGACAATGTTATACAGAGGATTCGGCGACGCCGCTCCAAGAAATTCCCAGCAACATTTCAAGATAAAAGATCAGGGAATTTCCACACAGTCCTGAGGTTTGTATTGGGAGCATCAGACTACTTTCCAATACTTCAACCCCATATTCATCTCTATGGCGCGGAGTTTGGCTTAGTTTTACAAACTCACGATACACAGCTGAGTCGGTACAATTCTCGAGTGCCACATTTGTGTTCGGCAAAGGTGTCATGGACACCGCCTGTTGCTGTATGTACACGGCAGGTAGACTTTCACAAAGCTCCTGGGAGTTCACACTGTTATTCCTGCAGATGGACTCATCCGTCGGTCTTCCGGAGTTGGGCGCAAAGACTTGCAAGGGACTGCCTCTCTGGAAACTGGGAAGCTTGTGCCCTAGGCCCAGGCCCAGGCCGTCTTCCGTTTTCCCTCCTTCCGCAACTGAGACGGGCTTTGAAAGACCAATAGGAAGTGTCTCCAGGGCCAAATTACAGAGTCCCATTGGCGGAATTCTCTCCGGCTCGGTGTTTAATCTCTTCCATTCGCCCTTTTCCCCTCAATTTTTCTGACACCAGAGCTGGTCCCTTAACCCTCTGCTGCGCTGTTGCGTCACTGGGGGTCTAGGCCCTCTTGCCGGTAGCGAAAACGGACCTCTTAGTGCGGTAAAAGAGTCCCTGACTGGGATTGGCAATGTCAGGTTGCTCCTCACTTCGTGACACAGTGGGCAACGTGTCAGCCAGAGGAGGAAGTTTGCAACATGGTGCCCCGTAACACCTTGTATTAGCTTACGAAGTTTATCACACTGGACGGAATTCGCTTTCCTGGGCCAGGATTTAGGTGGGTGATACGGTGAGCACAGAGAAAGAATGAGGGAGAAGGGGATGAAAGCTTTGCGCTGTCCACTTTCCTTTGCCCACCCTCTAATTACTCCATCCAATCTGTCGCGGTTTGCCACTTCACTTGGACTATAATGGTCAGTAAAGTGGTGTTGCGGGAGAGAACATCTGTATTTGGTAAGGCGGTATCAGTGGGACAAGTGGGATGAGAAGAACGAGGGAGAAGGGTGGTTTGATTTGGTTTGGTTTGTCTTCCCCATCCCCCCCTTTTCACAACCCCTCCTGTGTAGCACAGTGGCCCCGGCTTCGTTCTCGTCGCATTTCCCAGCGAAAGAGGATCACGAAGACCAAGCCCGAAGAGGAAAACCTTGAGCAATCTCTCCTTTACTTGCTGATATATAACATCATGCAGTAAACAGAGACTAAATCTATATAGGATACTACGAACATGACGATTTTCTATAAGTATATCTCTGCTTAATGATTCAGAGGAACCCAGTCTGTCCTGAAGTGAGGGCGCCTCTTGGTGCAGTGGGCCAGAGTATCCAAGTTTTTGGGAGATGATTGACATCGTGACACATCTTGTCCTATGGCCACACTAGACAAAAGTTACAGCAGCTTGGACCCTATGCCAGTTGAGACAAGTTTTCGTCCTGAAGAGAAACAATACCAATGATGTGATGCCTCACAGGCTTAGGTGCCTTGGTTCAAGAAGTGCCAAGGACTACACCTTGCTATTCTCTCCACTTTGCTGGGATCGTAACTCAGTGCATCATAGGACTCAGGCTGTGAACAGAAGGGTCAAAGAAAAGAGGCACAAGATGAGCACCATTCTTTTCTGATTGATGTAGAAGAAGATGTTGCTGCCAGCAGTTTTGATTACCTTCCAGTTGAAAAGATGCCACGATACAGGATTTCCTATCGTCAAGGTCCTTGGAAAAAGAAACATTTCAAAAAACTTCATGCTCCATCTTCTGTTCAATAGCATAATCAAGGAAGCAGTAATGTTTGTTGTCGTGTTTGTTGGAGGCAGACGGATGAAAGTGCAATCCGCGTTGAAACTTCAGTGATGTATCTGTAGCATTTCCTGAAATTTACAAAACTTCTTTACAAACATGACCTCAAGATTGATAGAGGAACCAATGCAATTCCAGAAGCAGCTGATGGAATACAGTAGTGTGTCAGAGGCCTTTAACATCATGTAGAGGTGGTAGACAGCATGAGCGGAGTTTTCATCAGGGGTTGGTAGGCACGATGAGGTCAGTGAGATACGGCTCTACCTACCGTTCGGGAGGCACGGAAGGAACGTCTTGAAGCTATTGGAGTTACGAATACGGATGACAACAATAACAAAAACAACAACTGATCATTGACGGAGGCCCGTGTTCCTATCACTCTACTCCATCAACTAAATCACGCACACTGGGCAAGCCTCTTTTAGCGTCGAAGTCTCATCACATGAGCAACCTGTCTAGGAACAACCGTGAGAGTAACGTTTTCGCGCCGACGGACCCCCAATCGTTGAGTCAATCTTATGACTAGGAAGGATACAAAAGGACACACAACCGAACTCCAATCCCAGACTCCCCAGCCAAAGCCCAGACACCCAAGATCCCTGACCCACGGCTACCCAAAACCCATTGATCCAAACTTCCAGTTTTGCAGTCCCATAACTCTAGCAAGCATCGATGAACGCCAATCCGATTCGAACAAAAGTGGTATCATAAGGTAATCGTGAGCGCAACTGAGGGTATCCGTACTCTAATTGTAACAATCATGGCAAACAAGTGATGAAAGCGGTAAATCAGACTCAGCACAGGCTCAAGAAGAAAACGACATTGAAGAAGACGCCGAGACACGGTTGCTATGCCTGAGCCCTTGCTTCCGCTGCCTCATGGCATAAATCAGGCCGCAGACATTGCAGAGGGTACGCGGCCCCGCGGGTCCGCTACGCCACTGTGGTGTACAGGTGGTGTGGCAGTTGTGGCAGACGGAGGGATCGGACATGTTCTGTAACTGTGCCTCAGTGTAAGTGAACGTTCAGTGTAGCTAAACCCCACCGAGCTTCCATTGTGAACCAGGCTTGTAAGACGAATGTTGGAATGAGAATAAGACACGGACGTCGTCTGCCCGGAGAGATATGAGGAACATTCGATGAAGTTGCGGTAACTTACTGCATTTGAGTGATGGTTCCCGGCAGCAGCAGCATGCTCGGCTTGCCCATATTGTTTGCGGCGGACCTTGCGCAAGTGGCTGGGGCGTCTCATTCGCAAGGTCGTCTCCTTTGACTTCTGAGAGATGGCCACCAACTCCGCCATGTCTCCGGTAATGTGCTGGGAAATCTTCTGCGCGTGTAGCAGCTTTGGGTTGCCGAGCAAGACTCCAGTCACCAGGCGGCCGCCCTCAAGCGCGGGTGCCCTGCTATATCGGAGCAAGCCCTGGATATTGCGAAGCAGGTTGTTTGCATCGCCATGGACCTGTGTACATCAAGAGGGGGTTTGTCAGCACATGATGGACATGTTTTTTTCGAAAATCGCATTATGAGGATCGAATTTTGGCAATCGCATCGGGTGGGCAGAACGCACTCTCTGAATGATTTCGCTGGCCTTGAGATGGTTCAGGGACATGGGCGCTAGTGGTTCGTTGGCGTTGCTGCACTCATTCTCGCTGGGACGGCGTCGCCAAGTCAGGGCCGGCATGGGCACGACAAGATCTGCCGGGGTCCGGGCCATTGACTCTCTGGAAGATGGAATTTGGAACGGGCTCGGCCGGTTTGGGAAACGGACTGGAATCCGTCAAAAGTCGGACGGACCAATTGTCATGAACGTAAGAGCGGGGCTGCTGCCAGTTTTGGGAATGGAAAGGAAGTCTGTGGGTGACGTCGATGGGTGGAGGAGGCAGAATGTTGTAAAGATCGAGAATTATGAGAGGGATCGAAAATGAGGGGATGGGGTCTTCTTCGTTTATAAAGGAAAATCGAGCGTTGAAAAGAGGGGAAAGCACGGGACCGCTCAACTCTCCGTTTTACACTTTGCTTTGCGTTTACGGCTCCACGCCCTCTCCAATGGTGCAGTCAAATACCCAGTTTTGCAAAGTAAAACGGTGAGAAAGCCACCAACTTTGATAACACGGCAAGCAGGCACGGCCCAGATGCTGGACGGAAGGTTTTGTGGAACTGAATTGAGGTAAAGCAGAGAGATTGATTGGACGACGTTTGAACCCATGCAGAACGTGGCTGCTGCAAGGGCGCAATGTTGATCCAAAACGGACCTTTCTGCATCCGTAACTTGCATGTTGCTATGTTGGAGACATGGGAAACGTAGAGTCTTCGATCCGTCGCCAGAGAACTCGATGTGCATCTATCGCCACCGACTGAGCATCACAGAGAATGGGAATTTGCATCGCTTTTCACTTCTCGATCTACGGTCAAATCCGATGGCGAATAATTTTTTGGGCGACGCGTATAGTCAACCTCGTTCCCAAAGATCAGGGCGAGGCGGTGATGTCCGTTTCGGTGCCGTGTCTCTGCAGCCCCCGGGTGGCGGTTGCGTGGAGGGATTCCGTAATTGGACTTTACAGAATAGTGGCCAAATTTGAAGCATTTCCTGGGGCTCTGATGTTGAGGGAATGCCTAGCCACTTTCCAGACGATTGTCCAAAGTGTTGAATGTGTCTTTTCTCCCGTCGGCCTGTCTGTGGCCTCTAACGCCCGAGTAAGGCGGCGCCGTTCGAGGTGAGGCATACAGTCATGTGGTGCTGCGTCTGGATCAACTGAGCGACAGAACCAGCCCACTTCCAAGGCCATCGGGGAGTGTGAGAAGATAATGCTCCGCATGAATGAGGACCTGAAGTCTAGTTCACACCGTTGCCCGCGAGGGAGCTGATGGCACGGCGCGCAGTTCGTAGCGAGTTCCCAGTAATTGACGAGAAAAACGCAATGTGTTGGATCACGTGAGGAGGCTCACGATTCCAGGAGGCAGAAACGACAGGCATAGCATCAGGGAAAGACTAGAGATGTCCAGTCCTTCCTCGTGGTCGGGTCGAAGGTTCTCGCCGAATAGAATCATGGCAGTAGCAGTTCGGTCGACCTCCTTCCTTCCTTCCATTATTTCTTGCATTCGTTGCTGACGCGTTCCTTCCTCCTTCTACAGGTCTTCCATCTACCCCTATTTCGAGTCATCGACCCGAACAGACCTCTCCTCCGATAGACCTTGCTCGCGAACGACATCGAATCAATATCAAACCATACGACACATTAGATTCAACATTTAATAACGATGTCACTCTTTGCCCTATCCCATCTTGCCAGTCTCGAGTCCGAACGAATAACACGAACGGCAGTGGAATCAACACAAAGTCCTGTCCATACTGGCAACCGGCGGTGCATATACTGCAAAGAACCCACACTCGCGCACCACTGCAACGAGTGTCAATCCAACTGGTTTTGCAGCTCCAAGTGTCAGAGGGCAAAAGCCCACAATATTGATGCTGCCAACTACATGGCCCTTTGCCCCGCGCAGAACAAACGACTGAATACCCACCGTTACCTCGCCGAGTCCCTCAGAGCCGGTACCTGCGAGCCTCCCACTGATCCGCAAACACGACAAGACTTCGGGTTCGATCTTTGCCAATACGGCAATAAACAAGAGGAACGCCTCCTTTGGGCGACATACAAGTGCCTTGGCTGTTTCTTCGACCTCGACAGCGTTGTTATCTAGGGATGGATGATTGCCAGGGGCAAGTCACTACTCGCCGAGATGATCAAGCAGTACTTTGCCGAGGTTCGCCTTTTGACCAAAGATGTATACATCTGGTGGTTTCGCCATAATATCTGGGTCATCATACCTGAGGACAGAAGAATGGGATATGCCATGACAGTCCATACCGATCTCGTCCGGGAGTGCGCCAAAATGTCACGGGTGTCCTGTCAGATCCTGAATGGCTGGGACCGAGATCGAGAAAGTTGGTGGACCGGGCACACCATTGACTACATGGCAGCTCGCGTACGAGAAGCCATACGTTCGGTGGAACAAGAAGATCAAGCAATGGACGGGGTCTCGAGCGACACCTTGAGTGTCGGCAATACAAGCGGCGACTCCCCAAGTAATGATCCCTCGCGTGGTGACGCTACGTCAGGATAACGCAAACGATATCAGTCTCAAGAATGAAATACCCGTGCAAGATATCTATCAGAAATACTCAAGTGTACAGTGGCAAGAGATGTCGGCGTGCTTACTCTGAGGGACAGACCTCAAGTAATTATGAGTAATAAACAAGTGTTAGAGACTTCCCACAGCGATACAGTTCCCCATGCGCAGGTTTCGTGCATATCTTACAAAGTCAATATCAGGCAGCTCTCCAAAGAGAAGACACCAATAGAGGTATGTGAAAAGAGGCTGGATTATCTATAACTATCGTTTCTGATTGCATCTGCAGGCTTTCCGCGCTCAACTCCCTGGTATGCTACCTACGGGGCCACGGTGCTGGATGCTGGCGACGAACGGCTCGCTGCATATACTGCCAGACCTTCAATCTATCCGTTTGCTGGACAAAGGATCGAGACGACAAGGGTCATGGGATTCATGCTGTCCATTTGACCTCAAAGAACTTCTTCGTCTCTCAACAAGCTTCACTTGGGTGAATTCGAGAACCATTACCCCCAACTCTCCCCCTCTCGCATCAGCTACTCTTTTGCCTTCTTTCCACCAACTCATCCCTAACATTGACTTCTCTTAGCATCTGCCATTATTACAAAAGTTTCGCACCAGAAACGGTTTGCTCTCCTCTTCGCTCAACTTTGACATGCTATTTCATTACTGACTAGCCAATGGACAGCAAACAACCCCAAACACCAACAACACCATGGCCGAAGTCAACCCCAACCAGCCCACCACCGAGATCCTGTTCAAGGACATTGTCGTCAGAAGACTTGCGACCGACCCACAGACCCTCAAGGACTTCTTCTTCGACCGCTGTATCACCACCAAGGGGCCAGGAGAAGCTCCACGCCGTCTATGCCCTCCTCATGGAAGGCATGGACCCGGCACAGAAGGTCCATGTCTTTCCCTGCAAGTAAGCCGACATGGCAGAGAGATACACTTGATGGGTCGCCAATCGAGATGGAAACATGGGCGTACACTGATTTGCGGTTGATTGAGATACAGAGAATTGTGCCTCGGCCTTAGCAAGGAGGCTTGTGACAGTTTAGATAGTCTTTGAGAGTTGCCCGTCGAAACCGAATCAACAATACCATTCAGTCACCACAGTCCTTGTTCCTCTGGTGGCTCTTTGCTAGATAGTCACTGTGTACCTCGGACCATCAAAGCCAGCGGCGTTTGTACCAATGAAGGACGAAGTAGCTATTCTGATTGACAATGAATTGATTGAGATCTTGCATGGGACAAGGCTTGAAGGCACCCGTTGCTCTGAAAAAGCTTCGGCCTCAAGAATCTATGTAAGCGCTCCATCCCATCCTCAAGTAGTAAAGATCACCATCCAGTACAAGCACACAGACCTACGCGTTGGTACCAACAACAAAACAAACACAGCGCTACATCACACCCAATACCCGATAGAAGCCAACTAACACCGAAAGAAACTTCCATAGAAGAGCTACACTATGGAGAACGAGAAAAGCCAGACTTATTCCAACGAGGAGCAAGCCAAGCCCATAACCAGCTTTCTTCGAAGAGCAATGACACTGACTGAACTCCCGCAGACTCCCCAAGACCTGCCCGCCATGCAGATCTGGTTCTTCACTCGTTGCCAGTCCCACGACTAAGCCTTCAATCTCCTCCGCATCTACCAGACCCTCCTCATCGACCTCGACTTCACCCCGCGCGAGATCGAGGGCTGGCTGGCGCAGGGCCACCTCGGCCGCAACATCGTGATGCACCTTGAGAATAACCTAGGCAAAATCCCAGAGTCCCTGATGATGTGGTTGATGGCGCACATCTGGATCTTCGGTCTCGAGCCCGGTGCCGCTCTGCAGGAGGATGTGCCCGTCTTCAAGTTCTCGGATGAAGATAAGGAGTTTTTGGGGCAGTTTGATGCTCCGCCAGAGTGGGCTGGCATGCGTACCCTGGAGATCGAGTCTGCGATGGAGTGGGAGCTTGAGATTGTTAGGTCGTTGGCGCGTGTGAGGGCCGTGACGGAGCCGAAGGGATTTCTGAAAAAGTGGCTATTGGGTCCGGAGGAGGAGGAGGAGGAGGAGTATCCTTTGACGTGTGAGCGGTGCCTTGAGCCCGATAATTGGAGGAAGTTGTACTCGAGCTGGGAATGGCGGCAGAAGATTGCGGACATGTGGTATGGCTCGCCGCGGACAGATTGGATGAAGAAATGAGGTGGCGAAGCCAGGTAAGATTATTTTCCATTGAAATCTATGGATCTGCTTGATGAAATGATACCACGTTGATACCACCAATGTGCCATGACTTACAGCTACATTGCGCTTGCTGCCAGTTATCGCGGGGAGGTGATTATCCTTGGCGCAGAGCCAGCGGAGGTGAGCGTACCAAAACTGGCCGCGGGTTGAGGCTTGCGCACTTGTAATGATAGTAAGACGAATGGTTGTTTGGCGTCGAGGTCGGCCGCTTTCGAGAGGGCGTTCGATGGAGGGGCAAGGAGGGGCGTCGAGCACAGTGCGTAGGACGCGGTGGGGGTCGATGCCATTGAGGCCGACGCTGAATCTTGTATGCGCTACCAGGTGATTACATATGATTTTTGGTATTGAATATGATGGCCTTCTCAATTGGCAGTTGTCGCTCGCGGAAACGTGGTAGTCTGGATGACTTGGCGATGAAGTTGATGGGGGGAGGCGAAGGAGGGACGCGGATGGTGGGGGCTTATGTAAGTGAAGCTGCCAACGTCAACCGTGGGAAGGAGCCGGTCCCAACTTCCTTCCTCAAGACGGACATATGGGGGAAAAGATAAGGAAGGAACAAAGCAAAAATTATAAGGCGCCTTCCATTGAAAAAGCAGTATTCTGTGTAAAGAGCATCGTGATCACTTCAAATTTTGCAAAAGGGAAGAAATCTTATGTCAGGGCCATCTCTATTAACAGCATGTCAATGTCAGCGGGTGCAGTACTATCAAGGCGACCGGTTCTCTATCTCCAAGCACAACTGTATGGCAAGACCTGCCGCATCCAAACCCAGCCATTGCACTGCCGTTTCCAAGCTCGATACGCCATATCGAAGCAAGCATCCGAGGGTATCGCAGAGAACAAGGTGGTGATGGTGTATGGTTTGTCCCATCAGGTAGCGAAAGGCACTGCGATGGTCAGCTCGAGCTCTCGTTGATGGGGAAGGGTAAGCTACTCACATCTGTGTAAACCTCATAATGCTAATGTCGAGCAATTGCCCTCATCATATCGAGGGGATTATCTTGCCAGTCTCGTCGAGCATTCAAGAGTACCAGTCAAAGTCGTCACCAGGTCGCTTACGAGCATCGTAGTACTCCTTCAACTCCTTCGCAGCGCGCGCAGCCTTAGCCTCGCTGGCAAGATCCTCGGGGTCCCAGATGTACTGGTTCTCAAGGAACCACTTGTAATCACCCTGGTAATCCTCCGGACCAAGCAAGACCTCAAACTTGGCCTTGATCTCCGCGGCCACATTCTTCAGACCATCCTCGTGGTGAAGCCACTCGTGGAGCTCCTCAGGCTTGACCTCAAAGTCCTCGAGGACGGTGCGGTAGACGTTGTAGAGTTTGCTCTGGTCGAGGGTGATGTAGCAGCGCGAGAAGCCGTAGTCGGCCTTGACCTGCGCGTTGGTGGGGATCTCGTCGTCCTGGATGGCGGCGAGGAGGTCGTGGGCCGTGGTGCGCTTGGCGTTTTTGTTGCGCTTCGCGGGGGGCTTATTCTTCTTGACCGCCTTGTTCTTGCTTCCCTTGGGGCGGCCGGGTCCCATGATGGGTTTCTTGCAGGCCGGCTTGGGCTTGCGGGAGGCAGCGGCTGTAGTGGTCTTCTTGGAGGCGGCCTTGCGGGCGGCTGGCTTCTTCTTCTCGGGGGAGGGTTCCTCGGGCGAGGGCTTCGAGGGCTTCGAGTCTGGGAGTTTCTTTCGGGTGGTGCGCTTGGGGGCAGGGTCCTCGGGGATTGTCTCGAGGACCGTGGCGGTGTTGTTCTCCTTGGAGGCCATCTTTGTCAGTCTTTGTTGATACAGGAAAGGTGTGGATAAGTGGTGATTGTTGGAGGTTTGGAAGGAAAATTGCCAGGAGGAGGATGTGAAGAAAAGTAAGAGGGTGGGAAGACAATGGATTGATGGGAGTGAGTTGCTTAGGTAGGGTCTTAAAAGATCTCTTGGTGGGAGCGGACGGGAATGAGATACTCACCTCAGACGATCAGATCGGTTTGGAGTATCCGGAAGCTTCACCTCAGCTTCAATCGACTGGGCAACTTTTATACTGAGGCAGGTATGTAAAGATCGGCCTGTAGTGGGCCCTCAACCCGTGACTTCATAAATACTCCTCGTCCTTATTAACTACCCTTAATGCGAATATGGTCCTGGAATACGACAGAGGCGAAGAGGATTGTGAAGGGGCGGTGGCTTATATGGGGTATGATGAAGGGGATCCTTCACACCCATGTTAGGACATGCGATGAAGTGCTGCCTATGATGTTTAGACTCTGTTAATTGAACCCTCGAACGCGGCCTAAAAGCCCCTCCATTCTGAACATTCAATACCCTCTCAGAGGAGAACAAGCGTTCAACGCGGTTTAAGGAAGTAGATACATCATGTCTCCATCACTCCATCTCTCTCATTGCGAGAGCTATGCAAGACGATGGGATTCTCTTCATAAAAGGCAGTTCCCAAACTCCTACTCCAACAAGCAATACCAAACAAAACACAGACAACCCTCACAAGTAACCTCCCTCAAAAGCCAACACCTCACTCCTTCCACCGAACCTCGCCATCCGCCCCCTCAGCATCAAACGCCAAAAACGCAATCTTCCTAACCCACCTCTCCTCCCCAAACAACCACCTCCAATTCTCCTTCCTCACACTCCGCTCATGCTTCTGAGGCAAAAACCGCCTCGCCTGCTCCAGCTCAACCTCCATCGCCCACTCAATCTGCGCGACACTATACCGCTCCCACGCCCTCGGCCACCTCCCCTGCAGAAACGCCCGATCGTCCTCGGTGAACTCAAACACGGGCACATCGTAGTTCTGGATCTCGCCGCACCAGACGTGCGTATGCTGCTTCACCCACTTCCTTCGCTCCTTTGAGATCTTGTCCCCGGCAAAGGCGGTCTCGAGCATGAGGTGCGCGATGCGGTAGCCGAGGGATTTGTTGGATTTCCACTTGTAGAGCTCGTGGGAGGTGACGCTGAGGTCTAGGATGAGGGTGTTGTAGACGCCCAGCAGGGCTTTCGCGTCGTTGAGGGTGCGGCAGCGGGTAAAGTACCAGTCCTTGAGGACGTAGATATCTCTGGGGAGCTCGGTGGACGGGAGCGTGTCGTGGAAGAAGCCTGGCTCGGCGAGGGTGGTGGTTGTCGTTGTCGTTGCGGTCGTGGTTGGCGTGAGTGTGCTGCCCGTAGTATCCATCTCGTCAGTTTATTCTCCTGTTGGTCAAGCTCTTGGGGGTTATTTGAATCTGTAGAGGGAGTTTTTGGGTGCTGGTTTGTTGTAGTTTCTTGCTGGTGTGGCTTATCGAAGGTGATAGTCATTGGTATTGTGGAAAGTTCTGGCTTATGTATTCCATCTCAGACTAAACCAACCTACAGCCAGGGAAACATTGCCATTGTAGCCGTAGACAAACAATGCCGAACACAAGGGATCAAGCAAGAAAGGTCAGATTGACAAAGAAGCTGTCAAAGCTGTTAGCGATGACCCAGATTGGACCAAGTCAAGGTGGTGCTTGTGTCCTCAAAGGCCCGAGGAAGAAAGAGGGCGGCGGCTTATTGCCCCGAGGGCCATCTATCATCATATTCGTCTACTGCTATGCTGCTGATGCGCATCAAATCGTGTAGACAACAATCCCGCCCAACAAAGTCTAGTAACTCCAGCCGGGTCGTTGCAGTGATGCATTCCAGCCATTGGGGTATTCCATGTAATACGATTGCTCAACATTTCCATAAAAGCTTTTTCCTACCGCCATTGCGTCTCCATCCCAATTCCTGCCAAGCGAGTATGACCCGCGAGCCCCCTCATTTTCCTGCGTCGCGCATTGCTCATCATGCTATACCCTTGCTCTCCAGTATCTTGCTTAGCTCCTTCAGCCGCACAGGTTTAGTCAGGAATAGATCGATGCCACTCGCAAACGCTTCTTGCTGTGCATTGGCTGATGCCAATCCCGTAAGCGCGATGATCAGACAGCGTGACAGGCTGTCTTTCGTCTCTATAGCACGAATCCGTCGTGTCGCCTCGAAGCCGTCCATCACAGGCATCGAGATGTCCATCAGAATACAGTGATACTCGCCCGGTGCTTGGCGGAACTCGTCTAACGCTTCTTGCCCGTCTCTTGCGTTCCGATAGTCGTGTCCAAGCCTCGTCATGTACGTTGCCAGCATCTTGAGGTTGAGTGGGTTGTCGTCCACCAGGAGAAACTTGGGACGAAATCCTCCCGTCTTCTTTGGTCTGTGAGACAATCGGGGGGTGTCTTGGCCATCGAGCGTTAGCCTCTTGGGATGTTCTTCCGGCGTGTCCGGTAGAGCGACATCCTCAGGCCTTGGCTCCGTTTCTCTCGCCTGCACAGCTTGGTCATCCACACTCTGCTTTGCTTCGACTTCGGTACTTGGCAACTCCTTCAATCTCTCGGGGAGATCCTCTCCGGTCGGAACATCCGGAAGGGCTTCGGTGCTTCCCACGTCCGTGAGTCTGTCTTGTGCACACCCAGTCGGCGTGTCGCCACCCGCGTTGGACGCTTCTGGGCTGGCCAAGGATAACATTGTAGGAGTTGGTATCGCCCGTTCTTGCATTTTCGTCCATCGCTTGAAGCTCAGCAAAAGCACCTTGGCAAGTTTTCTCGGGCCAATCCTTGTAGACGAATTCTTAGTTGAAGCCGATCACTGATTCGGAAGGTACAAACTTACGGCTGTGAGATGAACTCAAATACGATGCGATTACCGGTGAATCGTGCGGAGGTAGCTAGTTGGCGCGCGATAAGCGCGTTCCGGCATATCACCACGACCGGTGTGTTAATGATGCCTAAGCGTCGCTCCGTCAAGAGCTGCTCTAGTTGCTTTTCTGTAGACAGAACCAAGTCGGGAAGGAGTTGTTGCGAGGGCGGGATGGATTGGTCAATGATTTGCATATGAAGCCATTCCCTGCATAGATTTGTGACCAGTGCTCCTTCGCTGGGGGTGTTGCTGGCCAACTCGTCGGGCATTTTGACTCCGTAGTCTTCAGGGAAACCCAACAGTTTGACTCTTAGACCCATGAGTTCGCCGACAGATGCCCGAAAGGCATCAATGTTGCCATCTTCCACGTTGGCTGCCGTTGGTGATGCTGGGTTGGCGCATAGCAAGGGAAGTTGAACCCTCACTTTCGTCCCTCGTCCGACCTTACTCCATACCTGGATAGACCCACGCAGCTTGCTAACTATGCGCTTGACCAAGCTCAGACCGAGACCGGCTCCGGCAGAAAAAGAGTCCTCTTGAGCGAAGGGCGCGAATAGATGATGTTGTAGGTATTCATGACTAATGCCACGTCCAGAATCTACCACATCGATTTGAATGATAGCCTTAGTGGATGGTACATCAGTCAACGGGGCCAGCTGATTAACATTGACGTTGACGAATCCCTTTTCTGTGTACTTGAGCGAGTTCCCTAGGAGATTCATGATGACTCGCCTCAAAGCTCCAGGCTGTGTATGGAAACCCCAGGAGACCGCGGGTGAAATGTCGAAAGTGACGGATACGTCTCCGAGGATGAGTTGTAAATCCCCGATTTTGTTGGTTCTCGTCGCCATTTCTTCCATTGCTTGCATGCTGTCAAGTCTGCGTAATGCAGTAGTATCGGCGTGGTCTGTCGGTCTGTTGCCCGCAAGTTGGGCCACAGAGATGCGTTGGTAACTGAAGCCAGCACAAACACTCTCGACAACCTCTTCCGACAGAACGTCGACTTCGACATTTGATGTGATGCTCATCATACCAGCTTCGATGCTAATCTTTCGATCCCGAGCTCTCAAGCCTCGCTCACCAAATGTGGTTGAGTTTCTCCGGTGGTTTGACGGGCCGATGAAGTTGTTGATCTTGCTCCAGTCCAAGAGGTGGTCTATTGTTTCCAGCAGTGTGCGACCACAATTTTCGATCGAAACCAATGTCTCTCCCTGGAAAGCGTCCATAGTGGTATCGTGCAACAACTCTGCGCCAAGAATAATGCCGTGGAGCGGGGAGCGTAGCTCATGAGAAAGTGAGCTCAACAAGTCCGTCTTCGCCTTGTCAACAAGCATCGAGCTGACGTGATCGACCTCTGACATGATGACTGATGCAAAGGCGCGTAAGTAGCTGAGCTCGCCTTCGACGGTAAGCACTCGAGTTGGAGTCTTGGTACAGGCGAATCCGCCTGCGTACCAACGTTGCTTTTGTACGTCCCACAAAGGTATGATGGCCATGCTTCTGGTTCCTGAAAATAGGCCGCTGAGAGTTTTCCCTTCGTTCCGTCTCGAGTAGGCATGCTTTCGTTTCTTGTTTCGTTGCCGTTCGTCCTCGGTTGGGCCCCGTACAATATCTACGATCTCCTGAAGTGGTGTTTCTGGCTGTGCGATATGGTCGTCGCCGGAATGGTCGCTGGATTGGATAGAGCCGTTCTCGTCGAAGCTGAAAATTTTACCTTGCGGATATCTTCGTAACAATTTCGTAAGGAACTTTTCGGATACGGAGGTGTGGTTCAGAGACGGTAGGTCTCCGTCGATGCTTGAGGTAGATGAGCTCGAGAAGCCGAGGACCGCACATAAGCTGTCGTCTTGGTCGGTATCGCTGCCCAACACACTCCCGGTACTTAGACTGGGGCTTGTTTGCTCGTCACTAGATGATGATGATGAGCCTCGGCCCCTGGCAGACCTCATGTTGGTCGCTCTAGGGACAGCAAGCCCTCCGAACGAGCCGATACTAGCGTCCACAAAAAGCACGCTCTCAACCTCTATAGCTTCTCGAATAACGTTGGCGGCCTTTGAGAAAATGTGCCGAATATGTGACATGTGCGAGTCACCGTCTCCCTGCGAAACACTTTCTGTCCCTGAATGGATACTTTCCAAGGAGGTCCCGGACACAGATGGGAGTGCTTCCGGGTCTTGGTTTGGCTGAGGATATGGTCGAGAATCCGCTGTAGGCGAGACTGGCTTATCATCTGGTGCTTGGACTTCTGGCTGTGGCGCATTCTGCATCGCAACAGTAGACGACTGATGTTGTTGTGTTTGAGAGGCCTCGAATGCCACCTCTTCTCTGTTGCGTTCGATCCTTTGCTGGTGTTTGTTCAGAGCCCCCTCAAATGACGGGTGGTCATCGAACGAGTCAATATTATTCCTGTCCCTCCATCCCGACATGGTGCTCTTGCCCTCGACGAAGCTGCCAACGCCGCGAACCATCCTGTCTGCGCGTCGGTGATCGTCCCTGTTCCGTTTTGCGTCGAGATAGTTCAAGATCACTTTCGAAATATCCTGCATGAGTTGATTTTCCACATTGTCAAAGCTTTTGCGCGGAGTATCTCCGTAGATGCTAAAGACACCAATGTGTATACCGCTTTGTGAACGGATTGGGACTCCGGCATAGAAGCGACATTGCGGCGTGTTGAGACAGAAGGCTCGCGAAGAGGTCCTAGGATCTTCAGAAAGGTCTGGAATAATGGTAACAGGTAGCTGATGGGGACCCGAAGGATGTTGTTCGTTGAGGTGATCGGAGATTGAGAGGATGAGCTCGCATATGCCGGAAGATCGTGGGATAGCGGTGCCGCACAGTAGCAGCTGGTCGATATCCCCGCGCTGGGTTTCTGGAGGATTGGTGTCGGGAGTCAGAGCCAGTGACTGCGTAGCTTCAGCAATGACGTACTGATACTTGCTGTCGAAGAGGGATATCATGGCCCGGGTCGCATTCAGGCGTAGAGCGCCGAGTTCAGCGAAGGAAGTGAGTGCCGCATCAGGACATGACCGAAGTTCCGAGGATGGCTTGAGATTGTTTGGGTCGTTGTAGACTGTATGTGCGATCAAGGAACTGTCATATCTGCGGAGGCGGTCAGGAAATTCAATACTAAAGATGAGCGAAGTTTGCATTGACGAAAAGCCGTCCAGGCCGATAAAGAAGCACTTTGGGGCGCGGACCTGAATGTCTCCCTCTCGCGGCGACCCTCAGAGACGGCCTTGGCCGGCGGAGTGTTGACCATGGCCGGGCAGCGTGAATTTTATATCACGAGAGACCGGCCGCTCCTCTGTCGGTTCTACTTGGTTGCGCAATATGGGTCGAAGCACGCCTTGATATCCGCGGGCGAGATGTTATTGACCTACAGTTTTCATGTCAACTTGAGCTACTATTTGCGCGAGCAAGAAGAATTCCTAGAAATGAATCATGCCGGAACATTTTGCGGCCGAGATGCACTTGTCTGTGGCTATCAAGGAAGGCAGGGGGGGAACGAAGAACATCTAGACCAACCGGACGCAAGTGGGGGGGATGAGGTTGAAAATACACACAGTGCCCCTCCCTCTTCCCACGATGGGCTGGCTCAAGAAGGCCTTCGTGGGCATGCATCCCTGCGTCACCAGGCATAAGGTATGGTGAGTTGCTCAAGACAAGCGGCTGGAGACAGGCAAGAGTACAAGAGTACAAGAGGTGTATAGAGCATAACTCTATGGAAGGTAAGGCTGATAGAGGGGCATAGAGGATTGCCAAGGCCAACGCAAGAGAACAGTGGGAAAAGGCGAAGGAATGGGAACAAGTAGGTGTACCAAGACTGGTAGAATGGGTAAAAGATAGGGATACACTCACAGGTAGGCAGCGGTCACCGCAGATGATTGCTTGTTGGGAGAGGAACGTCGCAAATGTCGGAGCCTGTCTAGAACATGGCGGGCGGAGGTGGGAGGAGTAGTGGAAAGGAATATGGCAAATGAGAAGATGGCAAACGTGAAGATTGCGATGAAAATGACGATGCGCTGGACGTTGAAAATGATGTATCGTTCAGGTCGCGCCCTCTCTCTCTCTCTCTCTCTCTCTCTCTCTCTCTCTCGGGCTGGACTAGGGCGGGGGGGGGGGGGAGAGAGCAAGGAGCTGGTTGGATGGAGACTGGACGCTGGATGCGTGTTGGAGGTGTGTGGCCGCGTGTGCTGCTGTTTGTCGTCCGCGTGCTCTCCTTCTGCGCGCCTGGTCGGTGCGGGGGGGGGGGGGGGGGGGGGGGCGGGGGGGGGGGGGGGGGGGGGGGGCGCTCAGGTCGGATGCCGAAGAGGGCTGGCTCGAGTGTACGGGAGGTTCGCTTAAGGTGAGGAAGGGAGGCGAAACCAGGCGAATGAATTACCCAAGGGCTAGGCGCAGGAAGAACTCGCCGCAGATCGATCTCCCCCAGTTCAAGATTGCGGGAAGAGGTTGGCAGAGGAAGTCAAGCATGGAATAGAACCAAGGCAAATGGTGGCGATTGACGCGGGATGGGTGAGGTAAGTGGTTGACCTCAGAGACTGGACGACGGGATGGAGGGAGCTGAGTACAGATAGAGTACCTTAGGTAGAGAACAGGTAGAGAGCAGGCACGCAAGACACGAGCAGAATGCTCCTGCCAGAGCAGCAAGAAAGCACGACACGGGCCGCCAGGCGAGCAGAGAAGGAAGGTTGAGGTGAGCGATTGACAAGGCCACTGGCCAGGTCCAGACCCATGGTGGAGCCAGCTCCGTATCGGGGTGCTCTCCAGGCTCTCTTATTGGCTCTTCATTACAGTGCGAATACTTTAAGATGTACTTGTGCAAAACCTTGGCCTTTGGCATCTGGTCCCAATGGAAATTTCAGATAGCCACACTGGAATTCGCAAAAAAACGGACCGAAATTGGCATAGTGCCATCCGACATCTCCCCCCCAATGCCCTGCATCAACAGTGCTGCAGCACAGTGTTTTCTAAAAATTGATGAGTACCGGGAATAGCCATCCGTGCCATCCTGCTGCTGGTGTCCTTACCTAAGCTAGTCGATATCGAGATTTCAGAATTTCGACCACCTCACCGAATTGCCACTTTGGCCCGCTTTAATGGCGTCACATACGTCATGACGGAAGGCACTCCACGTTGTCCATTGGCAAAAGCCATCATTCTCTCGATCCTGCTTTTTCTCTTGTTCTCTTTGTTTTGACTTATTACCGTCCTTTCGTCACTTCACGATTGGTCTTATCTTTCCCCCATGGTAGGTGGTGGCAGAATGCAGCATCTACGTTTTCCAATACCCTCCCTACCTTACCCGTCTCTACACTTGGACCAGCACCCCCCCCTGTGACACGCTCTGTAGACCTAGGCCTAGGCCCTTCGTTCTGTCGTACCTCACAGGCTAAGTCAATACACCCTGGCCACATCCGGTCTAAGGGCGGGGTTTGATTTAAAATACCTCTGGAATTGGATCATCTCTGAGCTAAATACACTCAATTTTGGAATTTTCCTCGGCGTTGGAAGCTACCTACTTTTTCTGCAAACCTGTGGTTACGAGCTGCAAAAAGGAACGAGGTACTGGGAATGGTTTGATGCATGTTTAGAACTATTGTTGTATGCGGTACATGCCATGCGTATGAGGGTGTGGTGTGCTCGTGGTGACTCTTATGCATAGAAAGAAACGTACCGTAACAAACGGAGATAAAGACAGGAAACCGCCATGTATGCAGCCAGCCGCCAGCAGGAATACCAGACTCTACTACTGGGCACATGCAGGGCGGCGGGCTTTGTTCAGTACCACTGTAACAGTACTCCAAAAAAGGGCCCCGCGATGCCTACGCTGGCAATTTGGGCGACTGCTCGACGGCGCTGTTTTTGATGGCATCTGATTGGATACTGGGCGGAAAAGACTCCGGACCAGCCAAACTGCAAAAGCACAAAGATCTGCTCGTGGGGCCGTCGCGTCGCCGAGTCCACTGCAAGCCTCACAAAATGATAGAGCAGGTACGGATAGAACTTCGCCGTGACTCGTCCCTTACAGCCCAAAGGCTACCCATGCAGCAACGACAATGAGAGAAAAGCCTAATGGAAATGCAACATTGAACATATTCGTGGATGCTCTTCGGAATAGACTCCTGCCACAAGACTTTCCCGTAACCTACCTTAAGCACCCAATGAGGGTACTTCCAAACATGCAGGGAAAAGGCCAGGGCCGATGGCTGTGGACCATGGTCTGGACCAAGCCTCCCGTCACGTGCATATACCGCTGGCGTTGCATCGACCCGCCTCTTTAATATAGCCAATCAAAAAAGAGGCCGGCTGGGCCGGGGCCAAGCAGCAAGATCAGATCCCCTCCAGATCTGGGTGCACAGACCACATGCCATTTCTCGAATGTCTTAAGTAATCACACAAGAAATTTACCTTACCTTATCGCTATCATTGCTCTTATCTGTTATCTAATCGCCCAGGCTTCCAATTTCCATCTATTTCGGCAAATGACGATTCCCAACATCAACAACAACAACTCGACAAAATAATAAACGGACGACACTCAGGACCACCTACCAGCTTGTCCTCGGCTATGATCATTCCATCAGTCACGGGTCGGAAGTATCGCAATTGCCTCGAGCGAACAGCGGTGGAAGTAACAGCGCAAAGCTGCGCTGAAGCCCTGAAGACGTTCTCGTGCCACAGCGGTTCTGTCGAATGTCGGCTGTTTATTCGTCTTTGCTTCTTCGCTACGACTTCGTCTCCGATCCACAAGTTGCTCAGCCTTGCTCAATCACATCTGAGCGACAGTTGTTTCCAGTGAAATCGATGCTCTTCTCTTGTTGTCTTCAGTGTCTAACCATAACGAGGCAGTGCTGTTTGATAACCGGTGGCGACCGATCGCTCGAATGATAAAGGCTCAGCCTTCAACTCGAGTTCCGGCCGTGGAGGACCCTTTGTCTGCTGACAACCCCCGGGTGGCGTCTAGAGGACCTGGCTGTTTTCACCTCAATTCTGTGCCGCAGCGGGAGAGGCTGCGGGTGGAGCATGTCGGCGTCCCGGTGCCGCGTGATCGACAGTATCGAAAGCATAGACAGTCGTTGCGATGAAGATCTTGCCGTTGGCAAGCCCGCCCGGGCCACGCACTCCGGGACCGAAGGATGCTGCTGCTGTCCGAACAAGATGATGGACGCCAAGGTGGGCCTGTCAGACTACCGCCATGACCTTTGCCCATGGTCAAACTCACCATCGAAAAACCTGCATGTCCCGTGGGCGATGCAAGTTTTGGAAGTACTGCAAGTGCAGCAACTGCACGCGATTCGGCGGGGAATATACGCATTAGGTCCATGGAGAGCCTTGGTTGTTGTCTTCGTGACGGTGCACGCTTGATCGGCGGTGCGGCACTACCTGAAAGTGTGAGATCATTACTGAAGACTTTCTGTTCGCAAATTTTGACTCAACGCCAATGCAGTGTGTTGGCGATGGACGACAATAGTCTCGGTGAAGGAAAGCAATAGTCTTGAACGGGACTTGCCGGTTATCGTATTCGCTGACTACGTCGGTATAGCATGGGAGCAACGTCAGCGACGCTGATGGACCAACCATCCGAGCAACGCGTGGCATACAGCGGCCGCCTTCGTCAACATCCACGACTGCTTCGAAGCGCTTCTGCTTACAAACGAAGACGAGAAAGGGACCAGTCATTCCCGCATCATTCGCCTCAAGAAGTTGCGTGACGCCTACGATTCGATAATTGGGATTTCGCATCACGAGATGCACGCCACGCGTTGGGCCAGAAATAATCCGAAACAGTTTTGGACCCCAAAGTGGCCTTTTTCGATACTGAAGGCGAACAAGGGCCTTCAGCCACAACGGTGATGTCAATCACTCCATTCACCCTCCTCTCCCAGAGACAGAGACAGAGGCAGAAGGATGGAAGAAGAGAGTAAGAGAGTTCGGATTCGGGCCCGTCGGGTACAAAGCAAGGACTTTTCTACCCTTTCGATCCACCGCGGGGACTGCATACGCATAGTTCAGACTGCTTGTCATGCATTCGGATGAAGTCATTCGGCATCTTCCGCGGTGGGGGGCAATTGAGCTCGTCTTCCCAAGGGTCTCCGGGGCAGAGCGGAAGGGTCCCCGACGGAGGAAGACAGGGACGGAGAGTGATCCCCACCCGGCCGTTCTCCAGCGGGGCCAGGCCCGGTGATGCCCATGAGCAAGTCGTCCCGTTGCTCAGGATGGGAAGTCCGCTTGGCGGAGGAGCGCCGGTCTCGACGTGCGACACGCCGATCACAACGCCAATTGCTGTCGAGGTTTTAGACTTGGCTCTTAGCCCCGCGTAAGCCATGCACCACTTACACCACTGTCAATCCATATCGCCACGTCTCACCTCCCGCGACGGCTTCGCAATGGCGCGATTGCCGAACCTTCTAACGCGCGTAGGGCGCTGATCAATCATGCCGATCAGCAACTTCTCAAACGGTAGTCAACCGCTCAACTTTCTGGCATTCACACTCAGCGCCCTGCTTGAACGAGAAGAATAAGCAAAACACGAAGCACACAATCTCAGTATCCGAAGTCAAGCGGCGAATCTTATCTCGGAGATGGAATGGTCTCCCACTATCTCCAATGACCCCTATTGACATGGAGTAGGAGAACCCCTACAGGTCTCACAAACCCTTATGCGATCGACGAATTGTCTGACCTCGGCGAGAACAAGCAACACGAGCTCGACGAGGCTACTCAATTGGTTCTGAAAGGCTTCACTCCATCTCAACGTACCTTTGCTGTTGACATCTCGTAGTCCTCCAGGCTCAACATCCTCCCGCAGTCCTTCATCCCTTTTCGCTGCATTAGACCCCGCTCAGATCGCGGTTGCATGCATCACAATAGTCGCCAGGGTGGGTGGAAGAGCATGCAATGAGCAATAAGCAGAATCCAATAACTCCCCTCCGGCAGCAAACCGGCTCGCACCAGCAATCAAGCATCACCCTGCAGTCTGATGTACGGAATTTCACGCACTCGTTCATTTCCGTGATAACAATCAACACCGTCCGACCATCCCCCAGATATCTCATCTGGATTTAGCGGACCAAAGACGTGCATCGAAATGGATACTCTTCCGCGACTGGTCCTGTGCTCGGGATCCTTTTGCGCACCGAACTCATCCCATTTCAAACGACCTAATGAGCGATTGGACTCGACCGACGGATGCGTGCGTGAGAGCTCGACAAGTTGTTCTCCTCTTTCTCGGCTACCTGCACCTTTATCATTCCTCCTCCTCTGTGTCACTCTCAGACTCGGCCAAGTTGTTGTTATTGACGGTTGCTAGTGGAAGGATTGAGGGGTAATCTTTCCTTCTTCACTTTCCCCTCACTATCTGACTCCGAGCCTTAATAGAACTCAAACAAGTTGAGACGAAGGCTTATGTACGAGCACAGATTGACCAGTGAATGAGCGCGAGACCAGTGTGGCCATGAGGCAGGGGCCCGTGCCAGCGTCTCTATGGGCTTTCTTGTTGGGGTGATCTATCCTCTCTGGCCTTTCTCGCGCTTTTTCCTCTGTGCCATTCCCTCCCGGAATCTCACCCACACCCCGCGTGCCGGCGGCGCTTTCAGCTGACAAGCATGACACCTCTAGGCATCGTTTCCGCGGGGATTTTGTGATATTTTTCTCAGCATCGGATACCCACTGCTTTTATTTTGGACCTAGAGGCTTTCATGATGAGACGATGTGGCGCGCTGCTGTCTCACCCAACGTTCCTGGATCGTCTCTGTCTCAATGGCCGCACCAGCAGCGGCCCATAACGGTCCAGGCCAGCTATCCAGTCAGCTCTATCTCTCACACAATTCGTCTGTCATTCCTCCTGTCGACTGCCCCTTGCTTCCACTGCAGTGCAAGGCGAAAAAAGAAGCAGGGCTATAGAAAGCGATGGGAAAGGGTGGGAGGGGCCAGTCAATTGGGCTGGGGAGAGAGTGAGGCGCTTTCTGGCGCCCCAGCCAGTCGGTACCGAGCCTGTGCTGCTGAGCAAACCGCCGATCTCCCGATGTCGACCATGGCACGGCAAAGCAAGGTTGCGGGGAGGGGTTGGCCATGACGAACATTGAATGGCAAACGAGCAAAGTGGCCGGTCGATGGTTCCCTTCTCGAATAGCGCCAACGCATAGTGAGCCTACCAGTCGACAAGTCATCGACACAAGCGTCCCCGGCTACCAGGAACTATCGACCGGGCCCGAATGTGAATGGGCGTCGAGGGCAAAATAGCATCTTGTCGGGAACCTGCAAACTCTCTTGACTCACCATAGCAGGGACCTCGTTGCCACAGTCACCGTCTCAACTTATTTGCATCTGGAGCATCTCAGCTGCGAGCGAATCGCAGGGTCAAGGACGATGAAAAAAGTTCAGCTTACCGCCCGATGAACCAATACTCATCGCCAATCAAACGGCTGCGCCGCCATCCCTTCCCCTTACTGGCTTATCTTCCGTGGACGCCTGTTTACCTACGGCAAATCGCGTCGCGATCGATGAGCTTGGTGGGTTAGCTTGGACACCTGCTGCCCAGCTGGCTGGCCCAGAACAGCGCCACCAGTCGACTTAGTCATTCAGCTTGGCTTGATGGCTGGCGCCCTGCTTGGTCTTTGCGCCGTTGGTTACTGGTGCTTTAGCTTGAGCTACTCTGATACCAGTCTAGACTGAGCCGCCCAGACCACGCGGCACTTCTCGTCGGGTACAGCCCCCCCTCCCTCCTCTGAGTCTTCCCCCTATTGTTGCAGGCAGTCTTAGGCAGAGTCTCTGTATTGGGTTTGGGGGTTGGATGGCTACATATGCATACGAGCGAGCCATTGAGTTCACCATTGATGCGCATGAATTCGTTAACTCGCCGTGTCTGCGAGTGAAGACTTTGTGAGGGCGTTCACCCACCCTCAGCCTCCTTAAGTTAGGTGGTGACGATGCAGAGATGCTTGGCACAAGGCTATGCTTGCTCATTTGCCCCTTATTTTCACTTCTTCAAGACCGTTAGGTTCGTTAATCACCCCCAATCAGGATTTCTTGGCCGTCCTCACCCCGCAGAGATTGTATGCTGATTGTAGAGGGATCATGCCGGGCGGTTCCGTCAGTGCGGCACGATGGGCGCCACAAGACACACACCCTACCTTCGACCAGTCGGGTATCGAGGTTCAGCTAGCTGACCGACCATTAACATGCTACGTGAAGCTGCGTGACCTTTAGTTCAATTAGTGGGGGAGCCATTCCAGCCCTACTTGTGCAGGCGACAGCAGGTTACCTAGCAGCCTGCCAGCGGGTGCTGTGCCACCTCATCGACCCTCACAGGCACAGAGAGGACAACTGGGGAGGAGGCGCTGATGCATGGACTCACACATGTCTGCTGACGCTAGCACCGCGCAAGCACGGAGAAGCACCACCGCCATTCGGTCGCGGGATTGTTGTTATGGATGATACCCGTACCCGTCTTGGAAGAAAAGGGTTTGCTCGAGGCTTGCTTGGAAGAGGGGGTGGGGGGTGGGGGGTGGTCGAGGTGTGTATTCAGATACCAACACCAGGGACCCTCATTGTCTCACACCCTGTGCACGTGGCGTTCGTCTATCTGAGCCTCCGAGGTGGCCACAAGGGACCCAAGAAGGTTCAAGCAACGCAGGGAGAGGGGAGGCAAGTAGTGGGAACACCCATCTCGCCAAACTTCCCAGAGTAGATATATGACCCTCGCCCGCTTCGCACCACTTTCCATAGTGAGAGAGGTTCCCCATCATCGATCAAACAAATTCTACGGACAACCGACTACTTCTTACACAGTCCTGCCCGTTCTGGACGACAATTCCACTTCCACTCTCAGGACGTCCGGTTTCATCGACACTTACACCATCCTACCTCAACACTTATATACGACTACCACTCAGATCTCAGCAACCATGCTGTGTATCCTCCCAGACGAGCTTCTGCTCATCACAGGCGTCACTGGCCATGTCGGATTCGCCGTTCTCACTCACGCCCTGAAGGCAGGCCACACCGTCCGCTGCGCCGTCCGCTCAGAGGCAAAGGCTGCCTTCATCCGCTCGCGACCTCAGATCCGCGCACTTGACCTACCCCGCGCGAGACTCAACTTCACCATCGTACCAGATATCACCACCGATGGTGCCTACGACGATGCCATCCGTGGCGTCTCTGCAGTCATTCACGTTGCTTCACCACTTGCGACCGCTGACTCAGTACCTCGCGATCTGCACCAGGAGTACTTCATCCAGCCCGCCGTCCGCGGCACCCTCGGTATGCTCGAGGCCGCCAAGCGTGCGGGCACTGTTCGCAGGGTAGTCATCACGAGCTCAGTCGTTGCCCTTACTTCAGTAGACCACCTCGAGGGTCGCGAGCGCAGGGAGGCTGTCCAGCCCACGGAGAGGACCGGCTTCAAGCCTGAGCCGTATGAGAGCGAGTTCGCCGCCTACGCCGCCTCCAAGGTGGCCGCTCTCAAGGGCGCCGAGGCGTGGATTGCGAGAGAGCAGCCCCGCTTCGAGGTCATTCACCTCCACCCTTCCTTTGTCATCGGCCGCAACGATATCGCGACCACGGCGAGCGAGGCGATGAAGGGCACCAACGCCGTCATCCTCGCCACCCTCCGCGGCAAGAAGATGGGCTGCAGCTACCCCGGCGCAACAGTCCACGTCGACGACGTCGCGCGCGCACATGTCCAGGCTCTTCTGCCCACCGTCCCGGGCAACAAGGGCTACATCCTCAGCACCAAGTCCCGATGGAACGACGCGAAGCTCATTGCCAAGAGGAGCTTCCCCGAGGCCGTCGAGAGGAAGTTGATTGTCAGCAGCGGCTCCGTGGGCACGGTCAACATTGACTTTGACGCCTCTGCTTCCGAGGAGGTGTTTGGCTTTAAGCTGCAGAGTTTTGAGGAGCAGGTGCGCAGTGTTGTTGGGCACTTTGTCGAGCTGAGACTGAGACGCCCTGCGCTACCGACGGTTTCTTCGTCTTCGATGGCGGTGAACCAGCATTTGAGGCCCGAGGTTGTGGCCGCATAGAGAGATTTACGGCCTGCTTGACGACTTTTACGAGCATTTTCTCTTCTCTTTCTACTTTCCATGTTGGACATTGGACAGGTCAACAGACTGCATCGGGGTACAAGACATTTCACTTCAATGGGGGAGACGGCCGACTGTATCAGCCAGTCAAGGCGCATGGGATTGGAGAACACATTTTCATCAGCATTCATGGGAGACTGGGAGAGACAGGGAAAAAACGCAGCATTCGATTCACAACGGGATACCCAGCGGAGTAGCTTCCGCACCAATTTTCTTTAGTGTATATACTTTTGGGTTTTTCTAAAATCCACAACAAGAAATTTTTAGAAATCGTCCATCGTCCCATCCGTCTTACATGTTCGTGTTCCCCTTCCGCTTGTGTCTGCTTCAACCCACGCCCACGCGTTCACGCTTACTCACCCTCCCGCGCCCCACGCCCGCTCCCACGGGAAGGGGTAAGGTAGGGAGCCGTGGGAGCGCAGTGAGGGGGGAATTGGGGGGCTGAATCACGGCCGAAAAGGTCTGAGGGATTTCCCTCACCATTGGGCCCATGGGAGTAAGGACCATGGTCCAGAGACCATGGACCACCAGCTGAGCTGCTGAAGGGTGAAGAAAAAAGGGCGGCGGGCCCGGCCCCAGAGGGCACCGGGCGCGCCGTTCAGCCTCAATCTCCGACGGTATGATAGGCTCATTTCTCTTAGGCGGTTCTCAGTTCTTTCCTATGCGCTATGCAGCCTTGGGATTGGGGGGGGGGGGGGGGGGGGGGGGGCGGCGGCGGGCGCTCCTTGCCCGTGGTTGTTGGTTGTTCTTGTCTTTTGTCTGTGCGTGTGTGCTTCGTCCGTGTGTGGGGGGGGGGGGGGGGGGGGGGGGGGGGGGGGGGGGGGGGGGTTTCCCGGCAAGGGAAGTGTTGTCTCACTTTTTTTGGTCAAGCAAGGCAAGCTACCCCAGACTACCTGGGCTTGCATTACATACGTGCACTCTAAGGAAGAGACCAGACCGGATTATGGACTCTAGAGCGGTGGAGAGACACACGTGTACAGAGGGAGAAGAAACGATCGCCAATTTTATCATATTTTGGTTCTTGTCTTTGCGTGGGTGGGAGTGAGGCTTGGATTCCCCTCCTCGTGTCTTTTCGAAGAAGAGGTTATGGGTTCGGTACACTATCTTGTTGATTGTTGGTTAGGCGTGCTACTAGGTCAAGTAAGGAATCCCACTCGGCCGGGCGGTATTATGTGATTCCACCCGATTACTCTAACCTACCTTAGCTCAAAGTGTAGAACTGTATTTCCCTAGGCTCATGTCCTCAGACGTTGGAGCATTCCCCCCTTTCTCAGAAACAGCCAAAGTATCCCACTCGAACCGCGCATTTCCAACCAGTCCAACGCCAAGAACCATCCCGATCTATGTGAAGCTCGAGATCCTGCGACACGGGTACCTGTATCGAAAAGACCAGCTGATCAGGATCTAGGATCTCTGCCTTTTGAAGTGCATTCCCTGTGGAGTTCGCTTCGCCACGCTCTCTCCCGTCTGAGGAAACAGAGGATGGAACAGCAACGGTTATGCCGAACTATGTGGGGTTGCGAAGGGGGTTTGGACGGGATGGGATGGGATGGGATGGGGAGGAGGAGGATGGATTGTGGGGGGAGCTCGAGGAGTCGAGGGCGTGTGAAACGGACACATTGTATGCTCGCGGCTCGTCCTTCGTCCTTTCGCGGCTGACTTTAGAAAGCGCGGTTGGGTTCGGCGCCGCGACTACTGTGTTTTCCCGGGCTCGGTGAACAGATGCCGCCGGTGTTTGATTCTAGGTAACAAGCTTTCCTCATTTTCTGTTGTGTATTTTCCCCGAATGCCAAGACCGCGGCTCTCTGTGAACTCGCATGAGAGTTTTTCAGCTCGTGAAGGCCCAAGGGGAAAGATCCAGACCTCGAGAAGAATCTTGCGCCCCGGCAGTCTGGACCCCTTCGAACCCAAGAGATTGGTTAACAGGCGCAGTGACTCCCGTCCTGCATGCAGCCTTAACCGAGGCCCTTCTAGCGACTCTCACCTGAATGCACTGTCGCTCACGCACTCTAGAAAAGAAGAAAAGATAAGAGAAGCGTGGGAAAAGCCCTTGATAGGTCTGAGCTACGCAGTGTCTTGGATTAAGCGAGGAGGTCGAGTTCTGGCGGGAAGACAAGCAATAACGCCAACATTTGCCGAAGACGCTTCGGTTGGTGTTTTTCGCTGTTTGGACGCCTCGAGCGTGGGCAGATGAGACTTGGTATGGCTTGTGGCTGATGAGTGGCTTTTTTCTGAATCCACACCCCATTGCCAACGGCGTCAGGGCGTCAACAAGATTCCCATTCTGGAAGAGTCAAAGATCGTGAGATTTTTCGTTCGTCTAAGGTAGAGCAACGTATCTCATCATGGGATCTCCGTACTTGGTAGAGAGGGGAACCTTTGCTCGTAGGGGATGGGCATCCACGTCAAGGTTCGATAGCATGATCCTTCTGACCCACAGAATCCTTCCAACATGAGTCGAACATCACGAATCTCCTGCCTGGTGTAGCAGGCAGCAAAACCCTTCATCGTCATGAATCCATGATTTGCAGCCGGATTACTGGAAAAGAAAACAGCCGTTGAACTAAGTAAAACGAAGGAACAAAGTATTGCGGAGCCACGTCCGATAGTCGTCTCGCTCGTCAGCGCCAAAACATCGCAAGGACGAATATAGCTTCTTTGTAAGCAAGCCACCGCCAGGACGACTGACTCGAGTTTCTTCTTCGCGATGGCGCACTTCATCCCGCCGGCATCTAGCGGTTCTCGAGAAGGCTTGGGTTCGGGAAGTGGGGACGACGATGAGGAAGAGTTGTTGTTCACCGATGAAGAAGACGAACCTAAGATCAAGGACGAGCTCACAATTGTTCTCGACGCGTCTAACCGGGAGAGGTGGTCGGATGTGGTTTTGGAGGCGCGGAAGCACATGCGGTGCCACCCTAGACACCCAGGACGCGTTCGCGACGGCCGGAGAGTGTGCATCTTGGTTGATTCCTCCTCATCAGACGAAGAAGACGAGAAGAATAAGCTTCCAGTCCGTCGTCTATAGCCAAGCCCAGCGAACCCCACAACCTTCACCCTGTTCACCCGACTGCCGAAAGAACTCCGGGATAGCATCCTCCTCACGGCCGTCGACCCCATCACCATTGAGGGCTGGGTCAAAACCGACCTCGAGTGGCGGAACGGGCCCCAAGCGCATTTCTTCCTCCGCCGGATCAGGTCCTGGGCCGCCATACCCCTCTACGCCGTCAGCCGGGAAACCAGGGCGCTGGCGGCCACGGCCTTCGGCGCGCCGGACCCGCGGACCTTCCCGTTCAGCCCCGCTCGGGACGCTGTGGAGCTTGTGTGGGATGGGTCCATGCTTCCCACCACGTGGAGAAGGGCGGAGGACTACAGGCTGGCCGGGCCGGTTATCGCGGGCAGGTGTAGGTGTGGTGAGCTAGGAAGGAGACATGTCAATAGTGACCATGAATGGGCCATGTCGAGGGAGACGCGTGAACGGGTACAGAGTGTGTTTGTCGACGGGCGTTACGCGAGGTTTGATTTGGGGCTGAGGGATGGAACCAAGGGGCCGTGGGGCCTTGTGTTTGGGTTGGTGAATGGGTTCTTTGGCGAGGTGAGGATGTTGGGGGTGAGATTGTGGGACTTGGACGATGAAGGGTTTGAGGGGAGCTTTGATGTATCGAAGGGGGAGGCGCTATACAGGGTTGACCAGATGGACTTTTTCGATGGCATGGAGGAAGTTTGGTCTGAGCCTGGAGCTGAGGATCAAGGGGTGAGAGTGGAAGCTCCGTTCCCGAGACTGAGGTTGCTGAGGGTCTTGCCTGAGTTACCATGGTCCAAGAGACCACACAAATTCAGGTTTAGAAAGGTCAGGGGGAGCCACTTCCTGGTTGTTGGTCGAGGAGGCATACCGACAGCTGGGCCTTGACTTACATGTCACTCAATTTGTTATCGTGCAGAGTAATGCGTGACTTGAACATGGCCGAGGACTCCTATGAGTCTTGAGGGTGCTAGTCAGACACCCACAACACATCATCAAATAGCGCAAAGCCTTGAATGACAGTGTTTTGTAGCCTTCTGGCGTGAAATGTGTAATGCGGTGCTGCCGTCGAAACAACGAGAGAGAAGGCTTGACGGGTAACAAGGGTGTGCATCTACTCATGACACGCCACAAGACTGGGGCTGCACTAGAGCTTTAGTTACCACAACGGTATTTACTACTCAATATTGTACGTGTTGTCCTGCTTTAATGGTCAAGCTCCGATGGCGGCATTCGTTCGTAAGAGCGACTTTTCTGAGTACTTTTTTCTTATGCTATCCTTATGCTATGCTGATGCTATTTCAAACCGTACACTATAGAACCGTGCAGTCAGATTCTTCAAACACATCACGGGCAGCTGGCGCTTGTCAATCCTTGACCCTCGATAACCACTCCTCAGAAGGCCTATCTATCGTCCGCCGAAGATCATCGCTGAGTCTCAACCGTGACGTTGGAACATCCACATCGAACAAGCTCATTCCCAGTCGTGGAGATCCAATCCCAGACGAGCTCGTCTTGACCGTCGACTCTGTCTGTTTGCTGACGTGATGAGAGGGCGGGTTGACTTCAAGGATCCCGTGGGGTGAGGTGATATCCGAATCGGCCAGCCCATCCTCCGGATCGAGGTTGTGTGCCTGTCGCACCACCCGACTCGTCTCATTCCTGCGAGCCTGTTGTCTTTCCAACCTGTCTCGTTGTTGACGGTAAACCGATGAGCGACCCATCTTGGCAAGCATCATTTGATACAGAGGTGGTAACGTTGCTATCGAGGCTGCTACGATGCCGATCCCCGGCTCTACTGTACTCCATATCGCAAAGTTGGAGGTTCCATCTGCAAAGTGAGCAGTTTTATTAGTGTACTTGAAGGATCTGTAGCGCGAAGGCTAGACAATGGGCTTACAAAGGAAATCCTCGCTGTCCAGTAACGTCGGGATATGGAACGCTCTAACAATAGTCGCAGTACTTCCTCTATAACCAAGACTGTCAGCTTTGCCCTGCTGTCGAGCCAGTGGGTCTGCGGCCTGCCTGCTCTCACACTTACACAGCAGCTAGCCCCAAGATGCACACTACCACGATTTTGGTCCCGATCGGAAGATTCATGGATCTGACGATGAACCACGGCAAAGCACCGAAAACGAAGTCGGCGCTCGTATTGATGACCGTCGCCGCAATCGTCATGATGTAGGTTACCCGCGAGGGCCAGCATTTTTCCGGTGTTCTTGGGCCGTCCTCCCAGTACGTTGGTACTGGTCTGCACTGGAAAGCTACCATGAAGAAGTATGTCGTTCCGAAGACAACTGTACCTACCATGAGAGCTCGAATTATCCAGATGTGCGGCCGATCGAGTGCAACTCGGGAGAGGAAGTAGCCAACTGAGATCTTGAGGAGACATGTTGAGACGACGTTGAGTAGCTCGAGGATCCACCATAGCTGGAAGTCATATCAGCAGGGGAATAGAGTGGGGATGATGTGACATGATCTACCAGCAGCATGGTTCTCTTCTCCCCAGCAGTGATCTCAGAACCACGGCGGCCGATCCCATGAGTTCCTCCGTAAATCTGCAACATTAGATATCCGGTGAAAATAATCTCACTTCGTTAGTAAATTACCGCTCTCAAGCTCCCACAAGCGTAGACGTCACTCACCAAGAGGAAGACCATGATCTTGTCGTCGATACCGACTGATCGCACCAATGCCGTGCGGCAATACACGCGGAGGCTGACGGCAACCCATGTCAGGAGGAGGAATACCGAGGCCGTGACGACGATTTGGGCGCTCTTGTCCGCCATGACGACGGTGATGACGCCGCGGATTCCATCGAGAACCACCTTGACTTGAGGAACTGAGGTGGAAGTTGAGAATGGAAAGATCCTGTACTACCGACGGAGACGGGATGAACAGCCAAGCGACGCTTCATCAAGCACATCATAATTCAAATAAAAAGATCGCCCTACAGGATCGCTCTGGTCTTTGAGATCGATCGCAGTCCGATCAATAGGCCACGGGTTGTCACAGATGCTGAGCAGAGTTTGGAGAGCGATGCACGCGTGGCGAATAGGATCGTGAGCTTGGACATGGCCACCACCTGAGCGTCACCGCAAAGAGGCTATTGCAGGGTGATCTGTCTGACCATAACCAAGAAGACCATCCATATGCAGGCAAGTTGGTGGATGGGAGGGGCCGTTGAAGATGCTTAGCTCGTCGCTGACTCGATTTTCCCACTTCAGACTGCGAATTATGCGGGGAAGACGGGAAACGAAATGGGCTTGACTGTCTAGATTTAAGATTGAAGATCAAAAGATGCGAGATTGGTTAACTTGTAAGTGATTCCGGAGGGTGCATGGTAATCTGTCTGGTGACAAATGGGTTGAAGCGGGTGGGTTGGTAAGGCACACTGTGAGATGTCAACCACGTCAACACTCGCTTCTCGTCAAGTGTCCTTTCAATCTCGGACATTTGGATAAAATGATGAACTCCAGATCACGTACTTGGCGCTTGTAAACATAAGAATTCAGCTTATACTGCAGCATTTGAACTTGAGGCCAACTTTGCCGGATGCCGTCTTGAAGCCGCTGACAGTCCATCTAGAAGGGAAGAATGCCGCTATATCCCTGCTGGCAACTCTATATCGGCAGATTTTCTGCTTTTGAGTTCAGACATGATGCAGCGTGGACTTTGGATCTTGATTTGCTAACTATTCACTATTGCCGCACGTGGCTGCAAGTTATATCGAGTCATCTAATCAACACAATTCTGCAGCCTCATTTCTAGCTTGGTTCAAGCTCTTCCTGCATCTCTATTAATGGATAAATTACGACCAGTGCTTGGCCCTACCTCTCCCCCCTGCTAGATCTGGCGGATAGGTAGACGGCGGAAAGGTCGATGTATGTAAACACAAGCAAGAAGGAAGGGTAGGCCTTAGGTAGGATAGCGTAAATTCGGAAGAATCTCCGATGTGAGCTGGCTTACTAACCTGTCTTGGTAACTAGAGCGGAAGATGTAGTCTATCCATTCTCCCCGCGAAGAGAGCCTCCTGCCATATAGATCCACGTTCATGTGCCAGGCGGTTGTGAGTGGAATGAAGCCATGTCCATAAAACCCGTTGCTAGTCACTTGCAGGTCGCTTTCGACCAAGTCTACACCCAAGTTTGGAATGTGGCTAAGGGTTCGTTCATAGGCGTTGAGGAGTGGCAAACGTATTCGCTTTCGCTTGCGAAAACGGACAGGTCACTGCTCCCCTTGCCTTGATCACCTCCATATCCGACATCATCTCACCCCTCCCCTTCTCCCGCTGAGGCTCAGGCCCAATGGTCATCAAGTCATATCCCTGGGGGAAATATCTGCTTCCCCGTTCGCCCGGAACCTTCCCACCGACCGCTTTGACCAGCCATGCACCCGGACCCCAAGTCGACCACGTTGTTGGCCGCATGTACCAGGGTTGAAGGCTTTTCCGTCCAAAGTTGTAGAGCTTAGTCTCGGGGTTCGGGGTGTCGTTGACGAGTTTGACTGCAGATGAGTCGGGGCGCGGCAGGGCAAGGTGACGGAGCCCGAGTTTCCTCGAGTTGCGAACTAGTGCTAGAAAGGTGGAGAGGAGGATTCCGGGAGATTCCAGTCTTTGGAAGATCAGTTACAAGGGTTACAGTGGTCTCAAGATTACTTGACTTGACTTACTTGAGGCTCAATCGAACCACGTCGTCCAATTCGGCTCCCAGCGACTTCCTCAGGGCTGCCCTGAAGAAACTAGGTAAAGAAGACAGGGTCGAGTCGACATAGACTCTGACGTATTGGTCATTTGTCGGCACCGGCTGACAGACTTCTTGTTCGTATTGGACGGTCCAGTTCTTGAGCTCCATTGCAAAGTGCAACCCGTCCATCCAGCCTTCTTTACACGAGGGTAAAAGATCGAAGGGAATGCCCATATCTTCACCTAGGTTCTTGTGGAAGATGCCGAGAGCACATACTTCGACATCGGTCAATTTACGCCATTCGTCTCTGTTGACTACATTGATTATCACAGCAAGGCCGTCGCCGAGGGTGTGAAGTAGGTCGGGGTCGGTGATCTTGTTCGCACGGCGGTATCGAGCATGTCTGGAGGAACACCAATTGTCAGCAACGAATAGATGCGAGTTGTTGATCAAGCTTGATACTTAGTGACTTACAGAAAGTTCATTCTTGCCACAGACATCGCATATCGATCCGAGTCTCTTGCCTTAGACTGCACTTCTCTGAGAAGGATCTCCGTATCGACTGATCGTTTTCCCGCGTTGCGTTTGTTGTTCTGGCCTGTAACGGCAAATAGTCTGGACATTGATGGAATACTCCCAGCCTAGTACTTAGAGATCTCTCATCAGTCTGACTTGGTCCTCCTTTGGCCTGGATGAGTTTCTTAAGAGAGATTGACTGCAACCCACTTTGAGGAAAGCTAGTTTGCGAGCTTTGGAGAAGGAGTATGGAAACTCGAGTTCTTGTAGCTGGGTGATGATCTCGTGGGACTCTTTGACGGTCATACTCGACAACTCCCTGCCACACTTAGCAAACGGCGCTTCAATTTGCATCATCCGGCGGTAACGTAATTGTTTGACAATGAGTATGTGGCTGACGATAATCATCGTCAATGCTGTCGCAATTATCCATGATGAAATTTTGCCGATTTCAGGACTGTTGATTGGGAAGAACATGCTGCAGATGATACCACCACTGTGAGTTGCAGAGTGAATTAGTGTTCATAATTACACGGGCACGAAAATTTCGACATCTAAATTCGATCCTGGCTATTATAAGATATCACAATCGATCGCGAGTAGTCGAATATCTGACGAAAGGAGTAATCCAGCCGAGGTCCGGGAGCTGCCCGTGTTGTTGTGGGTAAACACCTCGTGGGTTTCGGCTCTTTGTGGGTCACTGAATTCAACAGAAAGTGCTCGTGTTGAGTAAAGAATTGTGTCTGCAGCCAATATCTCACGAAGTTTCCCAATGAATAATGCGTCGAGGTATTGATGAATGAGATTCTGACAATATTCTGACACATGACGGGATGGTGATAATGCCAAGCGAACTACATCACCTTTCTCCCCAAGTCTTTTTGCTGACTATGTTACATTCAATCTCTTCATTATTACTATGTAAGTACATACAGCCCCTTAGGCCTGCTAATAGTGAGTGAACATGTACAATCTTGGTAGGTTGTTGCTGAAGGTACTTGTCAGGCCTCGCCGGTCAGGCCTCGTTGGTTAAGGGATAGCTCAGGGGCATAAGGAGGGGGACCAAGCAACAAAGGAGCAGCTCAGGCATATATAGAGCGCTGGTAGTACACCTCGAGGGAAGGGCAGATTTCAGTAATTCATCTTTTAGACCCTAACAGCAGTTGGCCTCTGTGAGCTTCTTCCCTGTGTCACACACCTATTGACAGTACTCCCGTGGTCTTGCCTCCCCTCAAACGCTCATGATTGCGGCTTGATAAGCCCAATGCTGCTGAGCAATGGCCTGTCACTAACAGCAACAAGGTACGCCGTAGTAGAACCCTCGTTGATATGCTGAATCTTGGACCACGCAGGGACGGCAAATGTGTCTCGCGCAGTCCACTTGAAGACCACACGGGGTCCCGTGGGCGGCTCCACAATGGTTCGGCCTTGGCCTTCATAGCAGTGGTAGAGGAACGAAGCCTGCTCACGAACCTCCTTTGTCGTATAGTTGCCGTCGATGCGCTCGGCCTGCGCGCCGAGAATGGGTGATAGGGGCTTGCCGTGACTTGTGTAGTGGTGGATGGCGTAGGGGCCTTCCTGGGCCTTGAGCTCGGCTTCAACTTGGTCCCACGGGTGTCTCCACTCGCACGTTTCCGTGAACCTATGAATTGTCAGTGACCTCTTCGTGTTTGATCATCTAAGAAAGACGTACACGCTTGGGTAACGGCTCTCATGGTACTGCTCTGCAAAGTGTACAGGGGTGAATCTGAAGAGCGGCAGGTTGAGTGCATCGAGCCAGATAACCGGCGCATCGCTCTCGTTTCCATGGTCATGCCAGTGCCATGTCGGCGTCACGACAACATCGCCACGTCTCAAGGGCATCTTCTTCCCCTCAACAGCCGTGAAGCCCTCACCGTCGATGATGAATCTGAGTGCGAACGCGATGTGCCTGTGCGCAGGAGCAGTCTCGCTAGGGTTGACGATCTGAAGTCCACCATAGATGGTGTCTGTTGTGTAAGGGGATTCTGCAAGATCATGTGAGTACAAGTACGATGTAGGTTGTCACGAGTAAAGCAATGACACTTACCCATAGTGGGGTTGACCAGCATCAGCACTCTCCTCTCCGCCTGCTGTTCGCCAACCATCTCTGCGGCCTTGTGAAGAAGAGGGAGGCTGTCGGCGTACTTCCACATGTGAGGTTTGGCGGCGGGTGCTGGTGTAGGTGGGACCATCACGTTCATCTTGGACCACAAAGGCTCCATGTGTTGTGATGGCAACTCTTCCAAATAGTCGTTCATGGCCTTGGCCCTGTTGTCGTCCTCGTGAGGGGAGTCCATTGTGAATGATCCTTTCGATGTGCGTGGCGTATGATAGCCTGAGTGCCTTGTGGCTGTGCCTGAGTATTGATAACCGTGTTTGAATAGTGGCCTGGATCGATTCGTGTATCCTATGGCGAAAGCCGTGCTTCTGGAGATGAAGTTGGATGTTGGAGGGACATGCGAAGGAGGTTATCAAGGCCCGTTTCCCCATTATCCCCGGACTGTTGACCCCCCTTGCTCGTAGCCATGCAGCGGAAGCGCCACGCGGGACGGGACTCGATCTGGCAGTTGAGGCAATCCCGAGTTCCGATATATTACCCAGCTCCCCGCGTTCCAACCTCGGAACCACCTCTGATTGGTCAATTGGGGGCTGCTCCAATTGAGGGGCTCGATTGTGCACCTCTCGGAGGCACACTTAAGGAGCTGAGATAATCTGGGAACAGCTTCATGCGGCTTGTTGTGACCAAGAAAAGAACTCACTATTTTGAGCAAATTTCTATTCTCAGACACACTCCCAAACAAAATGTCTTGGAATCGTCTCATTCGCTTCGTTGACGACAACGACGTCGAGCACTTTGGCGAGCCTGAGGTGCAAGACGAACCAGAGATTACCTCGCTTCTTGACAAGAGTGACTTGTGGGCTACTATCTACGATGGTGCCAGTCCTGTCTCACCCCTGGCCAAGGGCGAGCGGGTGCATGTCAAGGCCCTGAGACCGCTCCTTACACCAAAGGACGTTCCGATCATTCGATGCATTGGCCTCAACTATGTTAAGCACAGTACTACAACCTTCCCCGGAATGAAGCTACTACAGACATCTGACTTAAAGCACAGTCAAGGAGGGTGGCCGGACCCCACCTCCGTTCCCCTCACTCTTCATTAAGCCCGCAACATCAGTCGCTGCATGGAATGAGGACGTGCCGATCCCCAAGGTTGCACAGGACGGAACCGTCGATTACGAGGGTGAACTTGTGAGTATCGATTCTCTGGAATAAACTTTCGATAGAAGCCGCTTACAAGGGTAGGCCTTTGTAATTGGAAAGTCGGGCAAGAACATCCCCAAGGAAAACGCGTTGGAATATGTCGCTGGCTACCTCACCGCAAACGACGTATCAGCAAGAGCCTGGCAAAGAGACCCTGCAAAGGCTGGCGGCGTGCCCCAGTGGTGCTTCAGCAAGGGTTTCGATAAGTTCGCCCCCTTCAGCCCTGTTCTGGTCTCTCCGGCAGTGGTTGGCAACGCCAGCGACCTGTTGCTGCAGACCTTTGTCAACGGCGAGGAGCGACAGCACGAGAGCACGGGCGACTTGCTCTTCGGCGTGGAGGAGATTGTCAGCTTCCTCAGCCAAGGAACGACGTTGGAAGCCGGCACTGTGGTGTTGACTGGGACGCCGTCGGGTGTTGCTATGGGTATGAAGCCCCCGAAGTACTTGAATGATGGGGATGTGGTGGAGGTAAGGATAAGTAAGCTTGGCAGTGTAAAGAACAAGATGGTGTTTGAGTAGAAAGAAGTCACGAATGAATTGTCAAATATCGGGGGTTCGAGAATAAGCATGAAAGGCGCGGAGGCCGGGTATTTTGCAGATGAATGTACATGATGGGGGCTGACAACTACCAGTTATAAACTTCCAGGCATACTATTAAGCCAAGAGAAGTCATTGATGTCGAACGTGATTGCGTCCATGTCGAATGCTGCATCCTGCGCCAAGTAAGGGAAAGGCATATCAAAGGTCTCCTGTTGCTCATTGGTGACGTTGGGCACCGCTGCACTGGTATCCGAGCTTGGGAGAGCAGCTGATTGAGGTTGCTGATCCTGGAACATCTTGGTTGAGAGGATCTGAAGCGCCGCGGCACATCTCCGCGGAGAAGGCCCTAGGTTCTCGTGGTCATGGAGCAGAGCCATCGCTTGATTCCACGAGCGAGAGATGTCGAGCGAAGAAAAGACCGCGGGTCGTAGTCTTGCTGCTATGAGCACAGTTGCGGCTGTGTAGATATAGAAGACACGGTACCACCAGGCTGGGAGTAGGCCGAGGGTGCCATCGTGTTGTTGGAATTGCACGATGAAGGAGATGAGACTTTGCGCGGCTTCTACGCAGACCATGGCGCACTGCTGAACGACGCGAGATGAGAGGTCATCATGGACCTGGGAGGTTTCCGGGCACTGAGAAAGGCAGAATCGAGTGAGCATAGGCCTGAGGAGTAGCATGCGTGCATGAAGGAGCCTATAAGCTGTCAGTCGTGGCTCAAGGGATGGTCAGGTTGACCATACGCCAACTCGAGTCGCAAGTACTTACCTGATACGCAGGATTACCGCCTGCCTGCGGAAGACCTCATCTAGAGTAGTCTCAGGCTCGGCCATAGTCAAGAAGCTGGGCAAGCTCTTCTCCCATTTCGTCAAGCGCTGATCAAGCTGTAGAGCTTTCCCAAGATCTAGCTCTGTCCTATCCAAGGAGCGCTGAGTCTTGCTTCCAGTGCCGTTGGGGTAGGTAGGCGACTTAAGCGGCGATGTTGACGAGTAAAACGCGAGGACTGCGTGGTTGATAACCTCGTAGAGCTCGAGCGACTTATGGAAAAAGGCCTGATACCGAAGCTTGTGAAGCTGAACGGCACCTAGCTGTACTTCGTCGACGCTGGTGACGTTGGTATCCGGGATCGAAGGTAGTACCACACTTAACGCTAATTGATCCGAGATCATCGCCGGGCGTCCATGTGTGATGGCAATCATTCTAGTCAACAAGTCAGAGGTGCCATGCGCATAAAGTGTGGTGTCAGAATGAAACTCACCGATCCATCAGGATACATCCATGCCAAATTCTCTTCACGAGATCTCTTTCGGGCTCATTCGAGAGCTCTGATGCCGTCTCTGGCAAATGTAGGCCAAGGCCCTGAGCGATTCTCACGGCAGACCCGACAATCATCCACGTCTGGTGAGGATTATTTGTACTTTGGAGATACTGGCTCATAATCAACAGACACTGAATCAGCTCGATGGAGCCAGTGTCCCAAAGGCTCAGCTGTAGTAAGTTCTGTGCGCGAGTGAAGTATTCCTGGCTGGAGGAATCCCTCTGATCCGGAGGCAGTGACTCGATCAACTGCGTGGAAAGTGCGAATATGATGTTGAGGATGCTCACAAAGATTCGTTCATCGGCATCGAGGGAGGTACCAGCAAACAGCGCTCGATAAGAATGCTCGAATCTCTGTCGGTCCAGGAAGGGATACAACGGATCAACGTAGTACCAGTAGAGATCGGTCAAGTGATCAGCTTGCTTACGGGCTGGCAGGACATAATCGGCTTGTCCTCCCGCACCAGAGCCATTGAGAGGAAGTGTCGAACGGAAAAGAGAGCTTCTCACACTTCTATTCTCTGTCGAGGAGCCCAGCCTCGCATCAATGGCAGCTTTGATTTGGTTCGTGAAAGACCCAGCACTACTACTGCCAAAGTACTCGCCAGTCACCATGCCATCCTCGCGGACCGTGGTCATGGAATCAACAACTGAAGGGCTAGCATCGGATGGAGTGATGGGGTGCCGTTCAACTCGACCTCGCCTCGTGAGGTCTGGACCCGAGGAGGTGGTCGACTTGGGCGTCGCACTCGGAGCCGGGCGAGAGATGGGAGGCATCAGGGGTTGCGCAAAGTTGGCCTCGGGCGTGTGGACGATCTTGGGCATTGCCCTTTCGGGATTGCCTGGACTTGCATCTGCAAGTTTACTACTACCTGAGAACGACTTCTCGGTCTCGGAGGTATAGGTGCAGCCGTTTCTCAAATCGGTCCTCTTCCAGCAGTTGCCGCACGCTATGAGTTGCTGTCAGCCGTAGCACGGGCAGAAACGCACGCGTTGCGCGGGCAGCTCATGAATCAAGGCAAAGCAGATGTTCTACAAACTTCCTAGCAAGATTCCAATCGACTTCAGTCTGACCTCGCGGGCCAAGACTCTCCAAGCCGCGTTTCCTTCACGCTGGAGTCTTCACCGATCACTCACCTGGGCGTGCTCCATCACACTTGACTTTCCTCCTCCGACATGCTTCACATGCCACATCAATCTTGATCCGCTTTGGCTTCGGCTCCATTGTTTTCTCCCTTTCCTCCCACCGGGCGCAAAGCGTGGGGGTAGATGGGCTCTTCCGCCGGAGACTGGAGTCTCTTCCCAGACGAGACAAAGCTCGGAATGACGGGCGACTTATCTCGGAAGCCGCAATGGCCTGGGAAATCTAGATTTAGATCATGGATCTCGGATTGACTTCGGTCGAGTAAGATAGACAAAGATTGCGGAGAATGTGCAGAGTTCGGGATGAAATGTTTGGATGGAGAAAGGTTGAAAGTCTGGGGATCACACCGAGTTCCGAGGCCACCTGAAGAACTCCTCCATACCTGAGACCACAACAGAGAAGCAAAGCATGGATCGAATGGTGGCACCAGCGAGAAGCGGAAAGCGGATCGAGTTATGATTTGTTCAAACGGACAAGTTCCGAGTCATGAGCCCCCCATCTTACCCCAGCTTCTTTGTCCAGCAACTCTCCGTTTCTGCTTATTTTCTCATCTGCTCCCATTGCACAGCTCCGTCGACCACTTGCTGCCAAGGCGGCCGAAACTTGACAAAAATCTCCGAATCAGGTCGCAGTTCGGTGCTGCATCCGACATCCGTCAGTTGGGAGCCCCAACCGGGCACGCAGGGGAGAGACATCACCTACCCGCCCTCCAACAGGCTCGTCCGGATGAGTATGTATCGCCCCTTTGCGGATGAGGGGGTCGTCCACAGCGGGGTTCCACAAGTGCGACAGAACGACTTTTCTTTTGGAGAACCACTCGATGTGTCGGCCAACGTGAAGTTGGAGATGAGATCGCTCCCTGAGAGGACTCGGACGAATTGAGTCTTAAACTTTGCAATCTGCCGCAAAAACCGAATTAGCAATCACTCTGGTGTTTTCAACAATTGGGAGTCTTACTATTTGGTGCGACCCACCGGCACCCTTGCTACAATGAATGCAAAAACAGGAGAGGACAGCGAGTGGTGTCGACGAAGTCTGGATCTCAATCCCGCCGCATAGGCAAGAACCCCGAAAAGAGGACGACATACTTCTGGCGGCGCTGAGAAGGAATACTGTCAAGGATCACGAAGGCTTAGTAGTCTGCTAAGTTAAGTAGGTTGACTGCGCGTTGCCTCCGGTGGCCACTTACTTGGGCAGTCGGGGCTTGACAAGACTTCAGTCACTCTTCTATGTGCAATGGAAACGCGGCCGGAACGCGCGATTGGCTTTCCGGCCAGCTGGGATACATCCCGAGACAATGGGACGCTAAGCAGAAGCGCCGGTAGGTGAACGTGGCATTGCGCGGCTGACGTCGAAGTCTACCACTCTGCAAGTGTATCGCTCAACTCCCATCAGATGTCTTGGCTTAGGGGGTAACTTGCCTCGTCGATCGCATCATACTACTGGCCCTCACTGAGACAAATGTAGACTTGTCAGCTGGGGTCATGAAAGAACTTGAGATGTGGACAAGAAACTTGACAATCGATTGCAGTTCTAGTAAGCTCGCAACTATGTAGGCTTTCATCGACCATGGCTTGGCCTATTATCTTAGGCCTTCCTATCCGCAACATTCTCAACTTCAACAAACTCGTCATCAACCTTGTCGCTCCTAACGCCACTGCTGCCAAAGGCATGGTTCTTGCCGTCAAACACCTCGGCAATCTGCTCAAGCGAACGGCCCTTGGTCTCAGGGAAGAGAAGCCAGATCAAGAGCAACAGGAGAGCCAAAATGACGCAAAAGACGATGTAGTACTTCCAGCCCAAGTTGGCCATTCCAATGGGGTTACAGAACTGTCCGATAATGAGACCTACGAAAGTCGATCCCAGGGACATTGTCAACCCCCTTCCACGCAGAGTGTACTGGAAGATCTCGACCGGGTATGAGAGCAGGAGGGGCGACCAGGCGATATCGTAGAAGAAGTAGTAGATGAAAATAAAAGCCACCACGGCGTAGCCAGCTCGCTCGTCCTTGGTGTTGGTGAAGACGCTGGTGAGGATGGTCCAGATGATGTAGCATCCGAGCATACCAGCAGTCGAAATGAGGAAGAGCTTGCGGCGACCAATCCGGTCAACCATCATGGCGCCAGCAAACACGGCCGCAAACCAGTTGAAAACCTGAAGCAGGCCGTTGATGAGGGCCTGATCTTTGGTCTCGGTGATTCCGACGGTGTTGAGAACCAGCGTGAGGTAGTAAGAGATAACTCCAGAACCAGACCACTGGGCTCCGAGACCGGTGATGACAGCAATGAGCGTACGGCGACGGTTGGGTGCCGTCTTGACGAGATCGAGGTACGAAGACTCGCGCAACGCCTCGGTCTCGAGACGGACGTTTTCCTCGATCTCCTTGACCTCGTAGTCAACGAGAGGCGAAGACGCATCGCCGCCGGCGTGGTAGCGGGTGAGAATCTCTCGGGCTTGTTCGGTTTTACCATGGGCAATGAGCCATCTGGGAGACTCAGGCACGAAGTAGAAGAAAGCGAACTGGATCGCAGGAAGAGCTCCCTGCAAGATAGACGGAATCCTCCAACTCCAAGTTGAGGTCAGTCGGAATGTGCCATAGGTTGACCAAGCCGCTAAGATTGCTCCGAAGAACTATGGCAGGTGTCAGCTAAAGTCTCTAACAAGAGGTTTGACATAGACCTAGGTAGCTAGGGAGACTTACAAAGAAGGTATTATAGAGACTCGAGATCTTGCCTCGCTGGGTCGGGTAGGCAAGCTCGGTCACGAGAATAGGTGCCGGCTGCGCAATGAAGGCAGTAGCAGCACCGAGAAGCCATCGTGAGACGATGAACATGGGCAGACTAGTACTTGCGCCCTGGAGGGCAGCTCCGATGAGGAGAAGGAAGAACCCAATCCACATGGGCACTTTTCTGCCGTACTTATCCGCCAGGTATGTAGTCGGAATAAGGCCCATGATCTTGCCGATGGGATACACAGCATTCATCGTTCCGAGCACGGATGGGCTAGGGCTACCAAAGTAACCGCGCCATTGCTTGATGGTCTGCAAACCGTTCATCATGGCACCTGGTTCCAAATGTTAGGATGGCACTTCACAAGTCTCATATGAAGCAGTGACATACCATCGAAGCCGACCGAAGCCGACGACAGCATGGGAACCAATAGAGTTAGGTTCAGCAGAAGCAAGTGCTTGGTACGATACCATGGTGCAGGGTTTTCGGGCAGGACCTTGAGCTGATGTTAGAGTTCATGTTCACATAGCTTCTGACTTGCGTCGTCTGTTGTTGATGCCGGCAAATTGAAGGGGAGACTCACTGCGAGCAAGTCAGACCCGACGGCCTGTGCAGCCGTCTTCTTGGCTGGCTTTGACTTGAGGAAGCCCATCTTGATTTTGTTGTGGTCGGGCTGCACTGAGATTGTACTGGAAGGCTGTTGGTTTCTTCAATGACCACAGTTGCAATCGACTTTGAGAGCAGTGAAGTCGCCGAGCCGGGATCAACTCGATGCCATTAGAGTTGAGTCGAAGGACACCTTGAAGATATATGCAAAAGTCAAAAGAGGCACTGTCAAGAGCCGGAATGGAGGAGTTCTCAACTTCCCACGCGGCCAGCCCCCCTGTGTACCCCAGTCGACCCCGTAAAATGTCTGCGGTTTCCCCACGGGCGGTGGATTCTTCCCCAAGTTCATCGTTAGCTTGGATGGTTGACCCGTCGTGCCGGGTGAGAGATTCCATCACGGAACTCGGGAGTCGGATGGCAGGTCACGCTGACTAGACTAAAAGAACGCTAGGTGGCTATGGATAGACCTGGCTCAGAGTGAAGATGGACTAACGCCGCTAGTAGTAGAAGCGCCGGAGCGCTGGAGAACTGTCAAGCTGACAAAGACTTCACCTGGCCTACTTCCTACACCGACGGCAAGCCCCCCGAAGCGAGCTGCCCTAGTCGGTAGAATGGCTCACCTTGGTGCTCACCGAGCAGACTCACCGGGAAGCGTCCCCGAGCGCAAAAGTCTCAAGACTAAGCAGACTCTATGACATGCAGATAAGGCGAGTCATAAGTGAGCTTCCACGCTTCCCGAGGCCATGGCGTCGCGTTCTGAAACGGTTCTGCGGGGGCCGGCGATCAATGCTGCACGATAATTAAACTCGCGATCCCCAGACAGGGCCGACCATCCAGCCTTCCCCCTCACATCTCGCGTCGCTCGTCTCCCCGACACGAGAAATGATCCCGAACAACGAGGTTTACAGGAGTCATCTATCGTCGCAATGGACCCACCGCTGAAGAGGATGAGGATGGACATCGGCCGGGGTTTCCCCGACATGGGCATGGCGGCCGTTACTGGCGGATCGCCTCCTGGCCGCTCCGTCTCCGGCGTCGATCACGCGCATGTCGAGCAAGCTGATCCTAGGATGCCGAAGCAGAGAACTTGGTCGCGCGCCTCATCTGCCTGTCAGACGTGCCGCGGCCGCAAGACGAAATGCGATAACGAGAGGCCGATATGCGGCTATTGTCAGAGGGTCGGGGCAACTTGCACATATATCGAAGACTCGGCTCCGGCAACGTCACTGTAAGTTTACTTTACTTCATACGGACTTGAAGTCTTAAGGCCCACGTCTGATCGACGGGGTTGGGTCACATACACTTTGCGGGGGATGGTCGCCGGTTCAACCGGATGGACACGTTATATCGGACTGATACTAATTAAGTGTGGATTGTTCCCGTCAGATGTCAAGGTGTTGGACCACGTTTGCTGGGAGCAATAGAGAACTTGGCCAACCTAATTCAACGCAACGAGGAGAACTTTCGCGCTATACCACAACTTAGCCGCGACCTGTCCGGTAACTCAAGCGACTATCCGGACAGTCCAACCTTCCAAAGCGGACGTCAAGATGGTCTCCTGTCTGGGCAAGATGGAGGTGCCGCGGATGGGGCCAAGAAGTCCATTCACCCCTCGTTATCGGATACCGCCGGACTGGACTCCGTGCTGGAGTGGCCAATCTTTCCTAAACCGGTGCCCTTCGCGATAGACCCCTTCAGCCATGCTTCCCCACGTGGGGAAGCCTTTTCGCCCAGATCACCCCCCGCCATGGAGTTCTACGAGCTGTCCCGGCTGGTAGACTTGTACTTGACCAATGTTCATCCCATGAATCCCATCGTCGATGCTCAAATGCTGCGACAGATGTTAAAGCAGGTCGCGGAAAACGGCCCTGACTGGTCGGCGTCTACCTGTATCGTTGCATTGTCTTGTGCCCTCGGCGCCATATCCCAGAGACCTGGGCAGAGGACGCCCAGCGGAACCCCTCGTGGATACTCCGTGGAGCCCAACCGTCATCTGGCGTCAAGGTATTGGTCAGTCGCCGAGAAACGACTGGGCTTCTCCATGGGTTCACCTGGATGGGAGTCTGTACAATGCTTGTGCCTTGCAGGGTAAGACGGCTCCTCCCGCGTATCTGACTTGTCATGGCTCTTGGTCAGTCGTACATGTAAGGCTGACTAGTATGGCAGAATCTGGCACATGTACAACATGGATCCCTTACAAGCATGGAAATGTTTCAGTATGGCGAGTAACACCTGGTATACTACTTCGCTCACGAACAAGTTTGTCTCTCCTTGGCATTGCTTGGATTTCCCTTGGCTGACATCCGTCTCAGACTCACCATGCCGGCTAAAGCCGAGACGCCTGAATTCCCCCAGTCACTCTCAATGGAGCAAATATTGTACTTCACTTGCTTCAAATCTGAATGGTACGTCCTGTCCGGGATATGTTCCCTTAGTGTACTTGATCATCGGCTAAGACTCGGTTGCAGTGAGCTGGCGTTTGAGCTGTCTCTCCCCGGTTCTATCCTCGCCGGTGTAGACTACCCATATAGTCTGCCCACTCCACCAACACTCGGGGTCATGAACCTAGATAACAAGGCCCTGATGATGGAGCAAAGATCCTGGTACTACTATTTAGCAGAGATCTCAGCAAGGCACCTGATCGATCGTTTCACTCAGGCCCAAAAGAGGTGCCCTCCCCACCCGACTGAACACGGCATTGACCGCATGCTTGAAGTATTTGAGGTCTTTGATGCCCAACTATCAGATTGGTACGAGTCGTTGCCGCCGCCAATATCATTCCAAATACCCACCGGAGACATCGCTCCACTGGGTGATGACCTTTGTCAAATGCTTCGTGGACGGTACCTGGCGATGAAGGAGCTTCTGTGCAGACCTTTCGTCCGGTTGGCTTCAACCATCTCCATCGCTTTAACGGTATCAGAACACATGGTCGCAAGGGTAGCGGAGCTTGCTTCGCGAGGTCTACAGTACTGTTTGTTCAGGATCCAGGCTACTTCGTCTACACCTCATCACGGCCTCTGGTTACAACTGAGGGGGTTCGTGACCTGTTCTCTAATTCTGACGGCCGCAGAGCGGGCACAGAGTATCCCGTCGTTGAATATGCCAACAAAGGTCACGTACCCTCAAAATTGGAAGCGGACGATCTTTGCTCAAAAGGAAATTCTGTCTAATTGTTGGGAGTTCGAGGAAGGAGGCATAAGCGACTGCGCTAGAGTGTTAGACTGGGCGCTTGCAAAGTTTACGGTCTGAACTCATGCTTACTCTCGAGGTACATAGTCACATTGTGAAGGGAAAAGGCATCAGATGTGTTCAGCCTTGGATGGACATAATCATTTCACGCGTTTCTTGAGCCCTTAAGCGGGGTGGCAAGGCTCTCGGGCCTTCACCGGTGGCATCGTGTCAAAGTAGCCGCTACGGGAACTGTCAAGGCCAATATCCGAACCTTTGTACAATAATGTACTTCTTCTGTATGTAAAGTCAATTTTATGTTATGATTTCAATCGAGGAAAGAGGTTAAGCTCTTCACTTGGCGTTCAATTAGCCGAGCGGTGCGCGAGACTCGGGTGGCGCCCGGCGCGTAGGCGATTTCATTGGGCGCTTCGCAGTAATCCGAACATCAGACACCGTTAACTGTGTTTTAGTCAAACCTTGACAGCAGGAGCGAAAGGGCGAGTATGCGTTAGGCTGAGTCTATCCTAGTGTACCGGGAACGCACGCTTGTCGCGGCACCCGATACCGAGAGATGTCAGGCTTGTATGTCGCAGCAAGGTTTGCTTAATGTTGGGACAGTTCTTTCGGGGCGGAAAGCCGATAGTCTGTCAGCACCCAATGTTTTGAGTTGACCGACTAGGTCGGACATTCTCCCCGCCTGCATTCAATCGGGATCCGTCCCCGTCTGCAGGCAGGCTCGCTCGGGGAAGTCTACCTAGATGTAGTCACACTCCGGACTTAGCGGCCCTATTGGCCTTGATGAGGTATGTAGCTTTCGGTGTAACCACTCTTTTGGGTTTTGAGGAAGACGCACTTGGCTTGCTTGATTGGCCAGTGAAGATTGAGCTTTCACTATTTAACTCTATCGTTTTATATTACTAAAGGATTACCGCAGTATATATAGACGCTACCCTACCCTCGAATTCCGTACTATTTAACCTTAACCCTTTTTATAAATTACCTATCTTTTTTTTTTTTTTTTACCCTCTCCTTTATTAAGAGATTATTAAAATCGTAGTTTTAATAACTTATTAATAAACTAATATTATTATTTAAAAATAAATAACCTATTTTTATATATAAGTACTAAAAATCTTATTATTATAAAAATAGTAATAAATATATTAAAGTATTTAAAAAAGCTTTTTAATAAACTTTTAATACTATTTAAAATAATTATCCTTAAGTTATAAAAAGAAGTTAAAGTATTGTATTAATACGGTTTTATTTATCTTATTAATATTAATAATACCTTTTTTAATATAAAATATATTAATAATATTTTATAATTATATTATTATATTTTATAAATCGTACTTAATATTAATAAAGTTTTTAATATTATTTACTAAGTCTTTTATTAAAGTCGTTATTATAAAGTTAGTTTAGTTATTAATATTTTAATAAGTATTTTAATTTAACTTAGAGGCTTTTATAGTTTTTAAAAAGAGGTTTTTAAGGGATTTATAATTAAACTTTTTACTTATTATAAGTAAAGCTATTATAATTAAAGCTATAGTAATTAAAGCTATAGTAATTAAAATTATAGCGCTACTTATAAACCTTAATAATAAGTAGTTAGTAATATAGTTATTTTTTTTTTATAATAAGCTTAAAAAAGTATTTTAATTTAAGTACTAAGTAAGTATTATACTGTTTTATTAAAACTATATTTTTATACTTATAACTTAGAAAGAATTAACTTTCTTCGATAATAAAGTACTTAGAAGATTGAGCTTTGTCTGGGCCTTGTTGGCATGTCTTATATTCCCTGTCTATCAAAGCCGTTCGAGGCGCACGGTCACAGATGTGGCACCTGTCAGGTTCATGCTAGCCATTAATCGAACGGAAGTCCGAACGACTTGCAGATCCTTCTAGTTGATAAGTAAAGGCAATACTTCGTCGGGCTCCTATCTCCAGCACTCGCGGACTCGCAAGGGAGTTATTTGTCAACTTCAGTCATAGTCAGTGCCATCGCATCGGAACGATGGCCAAACGACACTTCTACATCTCGTGTCAGACGGCCAGAGAGCTGGATGAAAGGTCTTTGGTCGCTAATTACTATGAAGATAGCCATCTTACCAAAGTCTCAACCGATCCAGCCTTCACCTGATCATCTCAGGCAACAACACCGTGGACGCATGCGGTCTGCCAGGAACTCCAAGAGAACGGCTGTACAACAGAGCCATTGTACCCAAGGTCAATACCTGTTTGCAGTGTCTCAAGGCCTCCGAGCGGCGTCGCTTCCCAACCTTCAGTAACCGGTCCATCTTCAGGATCGAGTACAAATGACAACCACAAGTCCTGCATCTCCTCGCTGACTTCATACTCAAACGCTGTAGAACTCTGACGAGCAATATCATGTGTTCCAAAGATAAGCGGGAGTTCTGCAGAATGAAATGCGCCCTGGCCTCCGGGCATGATATTGGTGAAGTTGGAGGAATACATGTAGCGGTAGGTCTTGAGACCAGCCACATTTCGCAGACCGGTCTCGTATTGCGCCGGGCAGCCGAACAGATTGTCTGGAACCACGTCGGATCCATTGGTTGGAGGGATGGTAGTGCTGCCGGCAAAGTTCCATTCATCCCTAGTCGAACCAACGATTGAGGGCTTCCCGATGACAAAGTCAGCATGGCTATTGTGTGCCTAGACGGGGTTGACACTTACACCTTTAGCAACTCTCCGGTCCAAAGTTCGGTTCTCGTAGTCAGAAAACTTGGTCTTCTCGTCCACAATAACGTTGAATGTCAAATTGCCAGCTTGATCGAGGTACTCTTGTATCTTCCGGAAGGGAATCTCCCTCAAGCAGCCAAGCTCGTCTTCTTGACATCCGAATGCGGCTGCAAGGGAAGAGAAGTTGCCGTGTACTGCATCGTCACTTCCGATTGGGATGAAGGGTGATCCCGAGTTTTTGATAAAGCCAATGGCAATGGGATCGTCGGGGTAGGCGTATTGATAGTACGAGACTGATCCGGCTCCAGCACTCTGGCCCCAGAGAATAATGTGCTCAGGGTCACCTCCAAACTGTGCAATGTTATCTCGCACCCACTCCGTGGCTAATCGCTGATCCAGAAGCCCTAGATTCTGTTGCGTTTGTTCAAGGCCTGCGGCGTTTGGGAAACCCCAAAGCCCGACGCGATAGCTGAATGATCATGTTAGTAAGACGTTTCAGCGGCAGCAATCATAGTTCTTACTTTATGGCAACAACAATATGCTTCTGGCTTCTCTGAACCCATCGGATGGGAGTTTGATAGGCAATATCATTACTTCCCTGTTATGTCTTTATTAGAACCTGAGTACCCACTCACAAACAGCGCATGAGGGGAATATGAAAGGAAGGTACGATACCGCACCAAATCCACCGCCGTGAATCCATACAACAACCGGGAGAGCCTTGGATGAATTGACCGGAGTCCATATATTAAGTGTCAAGCAATCCTCGCTGGTGCTATTCGGCCGAATCAAGAACTCAGCAGCCCACGCGCCTCCGGTGCCAGGCGGATCCGTCTGTGGACAAGACGGACGTCTCACTGACGCATCCAAGGTTCCGAAAGACTCTTTGGGCGAGGCAGGAAGCCATCTTCGCTCTCCGATGGGCGCTTCAGCGTAGGGAATGCCATAAAACTGCGCGACTCCTGGTGCTGCTGCATCTTGAAAGCCGGCGACAATGCCCTGTTTCGTTTCTACGCTCGGGCCGGGTAATGCGTGAATACTGGGCATAAAGATGCTGCCTAGCGCCAAAGAAGCGACCAGAGTGAATGGCGTCCAGATCTGCATCTTGAAATTTGGAAGAAGGGTGGAACTTCAGATCATGTTGGAGGATGGAAAAATGCACCACCTTCCCCTTTGATGTAGAGGATCTGGATCTCATACTTTTATGTAGGTACCAACTCGTCAGTCCGAAGCTACGGCGAACATGTATGCGAGGCTTCACCCACTTCTCCGCGTATTCTGAGAAGGCGGGGAAGCCCACCGAATGCCGAATGTGGAGTCGAGGGTTGTTAGCTAGTTGGCGGAAGAATTGAATGTTACCTTGAGAAGAAGCCGGCTCGGTAGGTCTCTCGGTAATATTGACGATTATCGTGGCGACATCCACCCTGCGATCGGCTTCTCCAATTTCAACAAAATTCCGCTATCATACGTCAAGGGGCAAAACTCCACAGGATACCCTCTGATTTGAGAAGGAAGATTTTGGAGCCACGCGCCAGTAAACTGATCGAGTAATACACCGTACATATCGTCGGACTTCCTATGGTAGGTTCTTTGCTCGTACGCTTGGCTTCATCGATAGTGATCCGTTTGACCCGAACCGAAGTGCTTGACCCCAACCGCTTGAGCCGAGCCGAAGCCTCTACAAGAGACTCATATTCGAAGTCATGAAAATTGTGACTGTAAGCAATTTCAGCGTGAAATATCGCCAAATTCTATTCTAGAGCTTACATGTTAGAAGCCGGCCATACACATATCACCTGTACTCTCAAGTTGCTGCTCGTTTGCTCATTTGCTCGTTTACTTGTGCAATGCAAAACTCACTCATAAGGTATGATCGGCCGCTCTCACTCAGTCTGAGAAAGTATTCTGTCTCCGCAAAACCTATTCCACCGGCCAAGAAGCACAGTCGTGAAATCCTTTTCAAGTCTCGAGACAATAAGTACTCAAGTTATGTGCCAGACGAATGGCAGAAACATACAAGACGAGGTCGAGTACTTGATATTATAGTGGCTCAGACTGTCGGCTAGCCTCTGTTGATGGATTGTGTCTGTTTTTGAACTCTAGGCTTGTCTTACAAGCCACTACTCTTATATCCAGTCGACACCCGGTTTAAGATCTCTGGCCCTTTATTGTAGTCGAAAACCTGTCACTGCCACGTGTGGCGCTACCCATTCTAATACCGCTATCCACGAGACAGCTGCCAGTCTTGTAAGGCACTTAGATACGACCCGTATAGGTCTCGCACCAAGATAAATCGAGTCACTTTTCACTGTTTATGTCTTCCACTCGAATCTTCGCTTTGCGATGATATTTATTTGGCGCTAGCGTTGGAAGAATCAAAAAATAAACCGAGTACAGACCTCTACACATTTGCTTTATGGTCTTCAAAAGAGGACAGTATGGTGCTCAACCGTTGGCAACTACTCAAATTGATGCCACTTTGATACAAAATGCAGGCACAAAAGTCGATAAGCCCTAATGCTTGATATTCTGCATCGAATCGATCAAGTGGACTTTCGTATTATCTTCTAACGAGACGAGTTTTTGATGAGACGGGGCGGAGGCCTTGCCGATTTAGTAATTAGTCAACTTACCCCCGGGGCCACCGCGCCAAAGGGACCCCAGCTCAGCCACTGGCCGCTTCGAAGCCCAAGCCTGGTCTGATTATATGTTATGTAGCATTGGGTTGGAAGCAATCAGTAATCAGAGCGAGTATTTGAGATGGAAGAAATGACACTCGAGAATACCTTGTAGAATCCTCGAAGGAATCTTACTTATGTCTGTCTCCCTACAGGCCCATCCATCATAGAACAGCGAGTGTCTGGAGTTTGAGAGAGAACGGTCAAAGACAAGCGCAGTATAAGAGAGGTACAACAGCAGAATAGTACGGAGTACACGGCCAACGAAGTGGAATGGAAGAGAGAGGCAACTTTCCAAGTCTAAGGAGAAGCACTGCAGAACTGCAGAACAAAAGGAACTGGCCAGTGCTGACAACTCAACGAGTCGTGGCTCGGTAATAACAAATTGTAAGCACGGTTGACTCAAGTCATCCTCGGGCTATACTTTCCCAACAGAGCCTTCAATTATCGAGAAAATCCTCGTCTCAAGCAAACCTTGCCACATCCATGGTGCCAAGGGAATTAATGCTAGGATTCAAGTCCTGCTATTGCAACTCTCTCGTGGATAAACAGGCATCGCAGCCCTGAATGTCCGTCGAACGAGGATTGATCGGCGATGAGTTGACTTCTGCGGGAGTGGATCGGTAGTAGAAGCGGGATACTGTAGTGCAGCTAAGATTAATGGGTAAATGTTTTCCAGATGGCGAATTGCCCCTGATTTATTGTTCCCCTAATGCTCGCCATCGTCTGAGTTCATCACATCCCTGACGAAAGGCGTGCCGCTGTTCTTCCTAACAGGGCAAAATGAGAAGGTGCATTTATTCACACATAGACCACAGTGCCAGCCCGCCATACTACAGAATTCTCGTTTTCAAGGATAAGCACTTAACTCAAAGAGACTAGACCACTAATATTGCGTACTGAGGGAACAAAGAGCCGGCCACTTTGTGTTCCTCTAGACTATGAGAATATATTGTCTATCTTGGCGATGACTACGTTAGGCAGTTCGACATTGCTTTCTCGATGGACCGTGTTATGGCACCCACTGTACGAGACTCTTGATGATTTATGGGATAGTCACGTTGACAAGGTACCAGGAGTGGGGTAATCGATAAATCGAAGAAGCAACAAGTCGAAAATTGAGCGATCGGAAGCAGCCTGATCAGTAGACCCACGGCGCATATGAATCGTCCTCCAGCGCCGGTAGTATCTTCCGTCATAAAACCCAGATATAGGAAGGCCGACTCTGCCATGGCAGCGGATCCATGCCGGCCAGGTATTTTGCTATCTCCACTGGACACGCTCCTCCTTCCGCAAGGAGATATTGGACCGAACGGCTAAAGTCATCTTCACGTCGTTGCTTCATGCTCTTTGCGTGCTTTAACTACCGTACGATGTTAATAATGCGATTCCGCACGGAAGTGTTCTACTTCAGGGAGGTCAGACTACAAAATAGGAAGCATTGAACGATGGGTTCGCAATCTGAAGTGGCAATGCTCTATTTCGGTCGGTAGACCTTAATCACCTACACATGAGCATCGCTGTTACCATCGAACCACCTTCCCAACTTCGCAAATGATGTGATATGATTCGGATTGATGCCATGGCGATGCCGTCAGTGCTTGAAACATATAAGCCAGCGAAGTCATCCGCTTAGCTTGTCATGAAGGCTTTGATATTCCCAAACAACGACCCTGTCTTACCGGATCATTTCCTACTACCTTACCTCCAAAGAATCCTCTTTGTCATCGCCATGAAGGTCTCTATGATCCTCGGCTTCGCGTCTATCGCTGCCGCTCTGCCCGCCGTGACCGCTCCAGCTGAGACGCGCGACGTCGTCGTGAGCGACAAGTCCTTGGCGAATGAACGCTCCGCCCAGCCCCTCGAAGATGCAGGCATCGCCCTAGTCTTGATGGCGAGGGAGAATTTTGAGAGAGTCGTCCCTTGGCCTACTACGTCTGTCATTGGCGGTGGCACTAGCTTTCAGTACAAGGCAGAGCCCCTTGGCAACGACCAGTTCAAGATCACCTTCTACCACAGCGCCCCGTTCAGCACTCTCACCTTCAAATACACCGTCTACGCCGGCGACGGCATCATCGCAAGTGAGACTCTGTCGGCCGGAACGAGCTCAAAGTCTGTGCAAGTCAGCCGTATCGGCGAGAGTTTTCGCATCGTTATCCAGTCGATTTAAATAACCAACGGCTCTATGCACCAGTGGAGGATAGGAACGACCACTATCACGTAATTACGGTACGACAAGATACGGAAACGAATTTGGGTTGTGCTTAGGGGTGTGGGCGAGAAATACTGGTGAATGTGGATTTGGTTGTTTGCGATCACCAGGCCAATTCGCACGCAAATTCTCTGGACTGAGGTCGGCGTACCCTTCGGGCGCAAGACACGGATAGTCTATTCATCAGATGTATGGTACCATCTCGACAGTTTAGGGTGTACACTGCTCTACCACAAACCTGTTTTCTCTAAATCATCCTGACATCGCCGCTGTGATCAAGCGTTTATGTGCGACACTGTACGTTCTGTCTCTTAAAGGTTGTCAACATTGAGTTCGTATTCTGGTCCTTGTTCACTGGCGATACATCGGCGTTACCGAGGTCAGCGGGACTCTTCAAGATACGGTTAACCGCTTACATACGCAACTCAACTACGCACTGGTGCCACTGCATTGGCAACATGGAGAAGGCAAGGTACAAGGGTCTATCGCCATCTTTTCAGTCCAGTCTGTATCCCAGACATTGATCTTAAGCCTTGATGTCTAGGCCAACCGAAAACTAAGGTAACATACGTGTAGGTAAGGGTTTGTCGGAACTTTTGAAATGCAAAAATCATCACACAGCCTATTTTCGTGGACGAGCTAGCATTGCCACGTCAGCCATTGAGGTCAAAGGCTGGTCGCAATGGTACTCATGTTATGTAGTCAATGGGTCACGATACGATTAAGTCAAGGCTCGCGCGGTCTCGAAGTGACGGAATTCTCCTAGTACCTACAGCAGATCTTCTGATTCAAAAACAGCCGATCGCGTTGTCAGTGGGATTTTCCCATCCTAATTTTCAGTACGTAATCGGTACATTGAGTTGATGGATGTCAATGTCGTGGTTAACACAGCTTCGCCTTGGTCACTTTGGGCACCTTGAGCACACACTAGGTGTGCTGAACCATCACCCTCCTTCCCTCTGCACTTCATTGGAAGGTTTAAAGTTCATACTTCACACCTAAACGGTGACATGATTCCACCCCAGAATAGTCTCCTCTGTCTCGGGCCTCAAAGTAGAGGCAAGTTTCTGGATGTTACGAGAGGCTGATGATGCAACGGGTTAGAGGATTTGCCTCGTCCACAGCCATAAGCCGTGCTCATTCACGAAACCAAATAGACTGCAGTGGAGATGTCAATTATAGCTCTGAGAGCTTTTCTCAAGGAATAAAAACAC